AGAATTAATTGTATACTGTATGGAATGAGATATGCCTGATCTAGCTAGATTCCAAAAAGGAAAAGGTACCTGAGATCATACTGCAAATATATATTGGTTACTGAAGCACACCACAGAATTTCAGAAGATCAGTCTACACTTCCTGAACTGCAGCAAAGCCTTTGACTGTGTGGATCACGAGATGCTATGGATGGTCCTGAAAGAAATGAGTGTGCTTCAGCAGTTAAGCATCCTGATGCATACCCTGTATCGTGGATCAGAAGCTACTGCAAGGACAGAATATGGGGAAAGAGAATTATTTTCTACAGGCAATTATTTTCACTCTTGTCAGACAAGAGTGTATTTTATCTCATAAGAAAAGCTGGACTAAAATCAAAGGAAAGAGTGAAAATTGGCTGAAGAAACACCAATTATATTAAGATACATAGATGATATCTTACTGCCAGAAAGCAGCAATGACATGAAACAACTCTTGATAAAAGTTAAAGAACTCCAAAATCATGACTACAGCCAAGTATTAAGGGAAAAAATCATGACTACAGAAGAATTAAAAAACTGCAATGTCAACAATGAAGAAATTGAACTTGTGAAAGGTTTTGCATACCTTGACTCAAGTCAAGAAATTCGAAGAATACTGAGTCACGAAAGGGCAACAACGAAAGAGCTAGAAAAGATAATCAAATGTACAATCTTTCGTTGGAGATCAAGGTGAAGATTTTTCACACTATTGTATTCCTGATCATTATGTATGGGTATGAAAGCTTGCCAGTGAAGAAAGCTGAAAGGAAGAAAAATGATGTGAGACATGGTGCTGAAGGAGGGCTTTGTGGATACCCTGGACTGACAGAAAAATGAACAAGTGAGACTTAGCTCAAATCAAGCCAGAGCTTTCTCCAGAAGCAAAACGTATAAACTGAGGCTGTCATACTTGGACACATCATGAGAAGGCAAGACTCACTGGAAAACACAATCATATTAGGAAAAGTCAAAGGAATAAAAAGAAAAGAAAGACCAAATAAGAGATGAATTGACTCCATAAGGGAAGCCATAATCTTGAATTTAGGACAGCTAAGCTGAGCTATCAAAAAGAAGACATTTTGGAAGGCTTTCGTTCACAGGGATGCTATAAGTTGGAGACAACTTGATGAAACATAACTACAACAATTTTAATAGTGCAGCATTGTCCCAACCCAACAATGTTTTAGTTCAATAATAACGCTGTAGGTTCTGTTCAATCAATCACTTCAATACAATCAAAAGCTAATAGTAATCCTTCACAGATGATTACTCTGGGCTACTTCACAAAAAACATTTGGCATACTTGAACCTGAGTTGACAGCCATGAAGGTTTTGTGTGATGAATAGCATGAACATAAGCCCAATTGCCAATTCACAATGTCACAGCCTTCCCCAACCTGATTTCCTCCAGATGTGTCAGACTACAAGTCCCATCCAGAGTTGGGCAGAAGGTTGCATCATCTTGCTGTAACTCAGCCCACTTTCAGCAGTACTACATCTACATGGTAAAATACTAGTTGAGTCCCCTGGTAAATTGTGCAAGTTCTAATTTGCGTAACATACATCCTCACTATATCTTATTTACCTTGACATTCTGTCTGCAGGGAGCAAGTTATAATAAGTCATCTCCTTAAGTTCACACAGCATTTTAAATTCTCATAGTGTTTACAATTATCACTACAACAAATCATAATAAAAAGCCAAGTCAAAAATATTATAGTACTAAAAGTGGTACTAAATGAAAAAAAAAATATCAGAGGGTAGGGCACCCTGACAGAAGGTTAAAGCATTTCAGGTTTTGTAGCTGAGGAAAACGATGAAGGGTGCACAATAAAAGTTAATAATGAACGGTATGGAGAAAATGAGCAATAGAGCTGAGGTTCACAGTCAATAGATTCAGATCAGGCAAAGGAAAACGCTATTTCATACAACACATAACCATGCAGTGCTAGGCGTTATTCCCACAGAAAATGGTAATGCTCACTGGTTTAGACTAACTTGTTCTTCATGACCAATGGAAATGGAAAAGCAGCTAACAGCGGCTAAATGGAACTTTCAGATTCAGATACTGCATACCTCTGAATCCGAGCTGCCCCGAGACAGCAGCCTGTAGGTTTCCCAGGGACAATTTAGTTGGCCACTGCAGAGAAACAGGATTCTGGACCAGATGGACTTTCTCTAAGCCAGCGGAGCTTTTCTCACATTCTTACAATGTTCACATTACATAGATTCCCATTACTGCTATGCCCTTTTGCAAGTGGAAAAAATGCCAGTAAGTTTCTTGCCGAAAACAATTTGCAGAGTAAAGCTCAAGGTCTTTTTGGGATCGGAACCCAGTGAGCAGTCTCAACCCCTAACTAGTGAGTCACAGCACAGACCGTTTCAAAACAAGTACTGTAGAGGATCACAAGATCGCCTAATATCGCACACCCATAATAAAATAACGTAGCCAAAAAAATCGCAGCTGGCATTCGAGTACCACAGGAGTCCTATATGACACGATAAAGCAAGCCTTCCCAAAAGAGTGGCCTTCAGGTATCTCAGACTACCAACTTCATCATCCCCAGCGAGAACACCCCATCAGCGTGCATGATGAGAGTTGCAGTCCAAAACATCTGGACAGCTCCAGTTTAGGAAAGGCAGACGAAGCCTGAATATGGGCAGTTCTGCGCAAGGTTGGGAGATGGATTTGTACAGATTGCTAGCCCAGTTTCACCAACAGGAAATCACGCCACCGCCACTACAGTGGCACACCTCGACGCCCCTCCTCACGCCCAGCCCCGCTTTCTCTCGCAAAGAACCGCCCCTCCCGAACCCCAAGAACGCCAAGCTCACCGGCAGCTGCCATCCCGACTCTCCTCAGTCTCTGCTCCGCCGCCGTAATGCCTCGCAAGCTGATGCAACCAACAGCGTGTCCGGAAGCAGAGCTCCGCCCCAAGTCGTCACTTCCGCCGGGCGCGGGTAGCCCGGCAACGCGTGGAAGCGTCTGTACGGGCAAGCGGATCACGTGGTTGCAGCCTGGCTGGCCCACGTGCGCTCCGGCTGTGCGGATTGAGCAGGGCGGGTGAAAATCGCGTCCTTGGACTGTTTTTCGCCTCTTGTGGGGGCAAGTTCAGGGCTGCCGTGTTTTGCCATCGTGTGCAGAGCGGGATAGTAATTTTCTTTTCTCACTCAGCTAGAACTGCCTTTCCAGATAGTAAATGTGGAACGTTTGTGACCTGTTCCTTTCCAGGCTATCATAAATATGTTGTAAGATTAAACGATTGTATTTGTTTAAGGGAAAGGTTTCTAGCATACCATCCTCAGAAGTCAGGAGAGGACAGGCGATTGGAGACTAAATTGATGGCTCATACTTACAGTCTGTACGACAAAGTCTTGCATCAACGTGCTTGATTTTCAACTGAGAAGTACTGGAAGGTATAATCCCGCCATGCTGTGCAGCCCACTCTTCAACCCAGCTAACATGTTAACAGTCGTTCAGTCTCCTAGAAACTGAGTCGGGACAATAGACCAATAGAATCTAAAATGCATCTTTCACACGATATTTTTAAAAGAAGGGTTCTTCTCTATGAAAATAATGAGATATTGTCCTTTCTCAACTGCCAGTGAACACGTCTGAGACCGAAGTTTTAGACCCAGCTTGCCGCAGTAGAGAGAGAGCTCCAAGTTTTAAAGGGTTTTAACAAATCTTTTCTATTTTTGAGTTGCCCATTTTTTATTTCTAATCAGTTAACAAAAGCAAAAACTTTCCTGAATTCACACTGTCTAATCCAGTATGATAGGTGTAGTTCAATGACATCACATATGCCTAAAAATTTTGAGATATTTTCATCCTTCTGTGTAAGTGGAATTCAGTTAACATGGCCAGGAACACAACTTCCATAGCAAGAGCACCATCTGCTTCTTAGAACATACCCAGACAGGATTTGTGGTCAATTTCCTTCCTCAAATTAAGGTGGGCAATTCAGACTACAGGGCTTCAGCATCAAAGACAGCCTTTCTTTTTTCTCCTATCAGGTTTCCCACACCCTTTTCATAACATCTTTGGTGTAAGAGATCTGGAGATTTTGAAAGCTTGTGTACAATGTTGTGCATATTAATTGGTATTATGGAATGATGGCTTTAGACTTTCTTATGGACCAGCGTGGCTTAGTTTTCTATTTAAGTCTGCTAAGGATAGCTTTTGCTGTGACAACATCCATGTTGTTTGTGTATGAAACAATGTGATGAATATCAATTGTTTTGGTTGTGATCCTCAGCTCCCATAAACAGAAGCACATATTTGTAGATTTTGAGGATTGAAAGCTTACATTTTAAGCCTTTTAATATGCAGATGAACCAATTACATCCTTCTCCTGTTGACAGCCTTCTTTAAGAGCAATATCCAGAACTGGGTATCATTTCCCCCCAAATGTAAGGCATAAATCACTATTAGAGCTGGTTAGTAAGAGCATGAATTTAAAAAACCCACCCCATCAAAATATGTGTTATGGCTTGGGAATGCTGGAAGCTGTAGGGCTTCATTCTGTCTAAATATGCAGGGGATTGTATTGTTAGCCATGAACTTGCTAAATAGCTGTAGACTGAGCTACTCTTACATGCTCAACCCCCATCCCATCTTTAATTTTGAGAAAATTGTGGTCCATGTTGCATAGGTGTCATAAGGATTACTGAGACAATGGGCCAGTTTGGATGGCATGCTAACCCACAAACACTATGGCACAAGCTCCTCAGTCACCGGAGGCCCCACAATACCCAACAGATTATCAGGTACATTCTAAGTTCTGTACCCCCTCTCCCACAACTTAGTTTTCCCAAAGATATCTCGGGACATCTCAGGAAGAATGAGTTCTGTAGAGATGGACTATAGCTACTGACAGAATCTCGGTTTTCAGTTTGCAAGGAATGAACACTCAGACTCATGGGAAAGATCTAAACATCTGAAACTCTGTGGTTTTCTTTATTGAATTGGTGCCTCAGTTCCTGCAGTAACTAATGACAGTGCACTCTCAGGTAGAGGCACACTCAACCACAAAATCACAGCCCATGTACAGACACTTTTATAACCTGCTAGGCACGTACACAGAGTGCTAAGTGTCCAGATAATGTTAGTACAATAGCATCTTGATGTCTTTCAGCATGACATAATGTTCTAAACCTATCAGAAATACTGGTAACAATAGTATAGAAAATATTACTGATTGCTTTATTTACATGTCAATTTAGTAGATTCCTTGCAGTTTGAATCAGCCTCTGTGTCTGTTTAAACATGCAAATATGTCTGATTGAGGTAACATTCAGGAAAACTGGTTTGAAACCTACAGTGTGCAGGTGCTTGTCTCTGTGGAACTAGATGATTAAAAACAGAGTGAGTCAGAAGGGGTCTCCTGGGCCATCTAGTCTAACCCCTGGCTCCAGCTGGCTCTGCTCATGACCTGCCTACCAGGGGAATGTCCACCTTATCCTTGAACACCCTCACTGATGGGGCATCAACCACTTCCTGTGGAAGTACTTCCTGACATCCAAATTGAACCTTGGTTCCTTGCGCTTGGCTCTGTTGGACTGCGTCCTGCCTTCCTCTGCAGGGGAGAACAGGTCTCTTCCCACCTCCATGTGACACCCCCTCACATACCTATATGCCAGGGTCCATTCAAAAACAAATGGACACCTTTGTCTCAGCTGTCTGCTGCTAATGGGAACACCAGATTTCCCCACAGATATTATCGGCCTACAGCAGCTTCTCAGTCCAGCTAAGAATTCCATCTTAAAGTAACAGCAATGCTCAACAGTAACTTATCTTGAAATTCTGCTACTCTCTGAGAAAGAGGCATAGGTTTGATTTTATTACACAAAAGCACATATATGCAACCTTTTTCTACCAGGGTTCATTCTGGATTTCCCCAACACTACCCAGCATTTTTAATACATATTGTTGAATGCACAAAGTTGTGCCCCCAGGAATTACTCTGGGCACATGCATGCATATAAAATTTGGGATTATGCCACTCCTTCCCTGGAATTCTTGGGCAAGAACCAACCACCCACAAAGTAGCCAAGTGGCTCTTGGAGGTGGTTGGCACTGGGTTCCACGCTTCCCTGCCAGGAGCTGCTTTGGGCTCATTGTGGCAGTTATTCCTCTAAAACTTTTTTTTAAAGTCAGATCATGAAGGCAAACTATCCATCCTGTTTCTGCAAACCCTGTGCAGGTAGTCCTTTCAGAATTACAGTAGCACCTTGAAGGGGCTGCTTGCAGCTGCGCAACCTTTTACAAATACATTTTGTACATTGGAATCTAAAATATTTTAAATCACAGTTGTGCAGCTGCACTTGCTTAAGTACAACCACATGGATTTCAGCTGAGGCAGTTTACATGGGGACATTGCTTAGAGAAGACTTCAGATTCATTTCCCCTGCCCTTGATTTTTCTTGACAGCTCGCAGAAGCCAAGCGGTCAGGAGAAAACCAAACCATGTGAAATCTTCATTTGAGAAGGGGAATTTTTTTTGGTTTACGCATCACTCTCAGCCAGATCCTCTTCTTGTTTGCCCCCTTTAGTCTTCATGGTGGAACAATGTCTGACCTTTGACCTTTACAGATTTACATTCTCCCATATTTCCCAAAGTATATCTGAGTTTTTACAAATCGCTGTCAAAACTGGTTCCCTTTGAAAAGAGGGGATTGATTGGGAAGCTGATGGATTTGGGCTGGGATGTACCTCTGAGTATGTCCCAGTCACCTGCCTCCCCTGCATTCTCACTCAGAACCCCCATTGTAAAGGGAACCAGAGTTTTGACAGCAACCTGCCAAACTCTGATTTTCTTAAAAAAAAAAGGGGGGGGGACGCATTTTTAGGCTTTCCTGAACCCAAAGAGGCTCAAGAGAAAAGAAGAGAAATTGCTTCATTGTGGAGACTAAAGGGCTGAATCAAAAAGAAACGGATCTTTCTGATAATGGAATGTAAATCCCCCCAAAACTCTATTCTCAGCAAAAGCCCCTCTCTCAAGGCCTGGTTTCCCACAGGCCACTGTGGTCCTGCTGGGGTTTCTTGGCAGGATAGATTTTAGTGTCAAACTGGGAATTGTGAAAGGCAAGGGGGGAAACAGGGAGCTGCAGCAAGCTCAAAAGGGCTTGTGGCAGGAAGGGGGGAAAGCTCTGGTTCTTTCTCTGGTGGCCCATGGGCTGGAAGGGCTGAAGGGGAAGGAGGGAGGGGGGCCACTGCCCATGGTATGTCCAATCATTTGTCAGCTTCAATGGGAACAGAGTTGCTTATTGTGTCATCCAATGTATGTGAAGCTGTTGTAGATTGAAAGGGTTACATTTCTTTTATGGAACACTGATTATATGTGTTTTCATTTATCGACATGACCAAGGAATGTTAAGAATGAAGTATTTTATTTACTTACAAAACATAAGAATTGGTTGAACCGGTAAAAAAAAATCATAATTCATGATTCCAGGATTTCATTCAAAGGGCCTTTAGCAAATGCCCCTATCACTTTTTTATGACTATAAACAACCGGTACAAAATTGCTTGGACTTCAATGGCTTCTCCAGGAACACCTATATATATATATATATATACACACACACATGTGATTCTACCTGCACAGAAAGATATACATGGGATTTTGGTTCCAAGTAAAAACTATTATGTCAAATTTCAGCCTGCTGAAAGTTAATCAGAACTTTGTGTAATTCAAGTAAAAAAATATGCTATTACACTGAACTTTGGTCACAATAGTATTTTGATCAACTGCATCTTTCTGAGAACTTAAAGAGTGTCAAGGTAGAACACACTTTCCACTTCAATTCTTCCTGCAGAACATTTAACACATCTTTATTTGGTAGCAGGATAATATTTAAAGTTTCATTATCCTGCACTATTTGCATTTATTTTTCTTCTGTCTCCAACAAGATGGAAGAAATTGAAATTTCTGAAATGTAATCAAGAACACAAAGTGTTCCAAATAAAGCAATGCACTCAGGCACATTTCTTCCCCATTTTAGAATGATATAATATACAAATATGCACAGCTCCATTCTAAAAAGAAATGGAAGTTTTATCCATATTTGTTTTAGCAGCTGGGGTTTCAACTCTTCCACTTGCAGCAAAAACTAATATTCACTAAAATAAGTTAATGAATAAAAGACAGACCAATAGTCTGCCGTAACTTTTTTAAAAATATCCAAAAACTACTCCACTAAGACCTTAGTCTTTGGTCTCCACTGTTATTATATCATTGCTTTTTAATTCATTTATTAAGTTCTCATAAATATGGTTAAGCTTCATGTGCCGTAGGCCAACTAAGAACTTACATAAAGCATCACCAGTTCCATATCTATCTTGCAAAGCTTTTAACATCTGATAATGCTGTTCATCTGTATGATGGGCATTATCACAAATGATTTTCTCAATGTCATTGTCTAATAACCCACTCTTTCTCATAAGCATCTTCCAACACTGTGGTGGCACCTTGTTTCTTGAGTCATAGTAGAGTTCTTTTAGTTCTAAAATGGAAGAAAGATACATTTTAAATAATAAAAAGTTACTTTACTCGTTTTTTTTAGTATGTTTATTTACATGTTACTGAAGTCCAACTATTATGCAACACAAGCTTTTCATGTTCTTTCAAGGTAATACATCGGGATGTCCAATCCTATGCAGATTTAAAAAGTCCCAAAACCTCCTGTTTTCCTTGCCAGCGTATCTGTGTGTCTGTTCTCACAAGCTGCTGAATCCTAACTTCATTAACTCATGCTGCTTTATCCTACCTTTCCTAAGCTCTTCGGCCTGTTCTTCTCTCTAGGTTCTGAGTAGCAATAACTCCAGCAAGATGCTCTTCTGCCAGCCATGGCCCTTGCTAATTTAGCCAATCACTGCCAGAACTGCCTTAGTGCAATGTTGGCCAACTCTGGGCTACCTGGGGTCAGTCCCTCCTCAAAATGGGAAAGAAAGCAATGGTTTACTACTACAGAATTAGAAGGGGCAGATTTAACTTATTTTGAAGCTTTATTAGTCTGCTCTAAGCTGCCAAACCATTATTTTTTGCCACTATTTTTCTTTATCAGCAGCAGCATGGGAAGTATGAGGGACCAAACTAGCCGGGGGTGGGAAAGGAGCGGGGGGGGGGTGACAGCAGCCACATTCCATTTCTACTCTACCAAACACAGCAAATGTGTAGGTGGGCCCAACTGCCAGTCAAATTCCTCCTTTCCATCACCCCAAAAAGTATTTTCCAAAGTTTTTAAGAACAGAACTAATACAAAAAAATCCAAAACAAAAATAAGTACTTAAGTAGGAGTTCTAAAAGATACTGGGGCAATAGCAATGCTATACAAAATCATTATTCTAAGTGTTTGCTGAGCAAATTGGTCTATCCAAATTAAAATCAAGAAAACAATTTTTGTTTGATATTGTCTGTTACATAATAGATTTGGAAAAAAATATCTGAACTACTCACTTTCAGAAGATGGATCTTTTACTATCACTCGATCAGGTTCATCAGGTTTTGGTACCTGCAATTTAAAAAATGTCTGTCATAAAATCCTGTGGTAATTTAGTTATAAAGAATGCACATCTGCCCCATCAAGGCAGCACAGGCTACTAATCAAGTATCCAGAAGCAATGAATAGGTCACACTAATTTTATGGATAACAACATATTTCCAAACAAAACTAACCCTTTAGGACCAACGGCCCTTCCCAAGGAGTACCATGGTGCTGAGATAGAAGGAATGAGTGGAAGAAGGAACTCCATGGATCATCTCAGATTCTTCTCCTAAGATGCAGTTATTTGGTTCCATCTACTTTATCAGTTGCCATAAGCAAAGAATCTTAATTTTGGAATGCTGGTATTTAAGAGCTAAGTAATCTCATGTTGTAAGGGAACATGTGTGAAAAATGCATCCATGTTGATCTTTCCCAAGGAACCAGCATCCAACCCAAAAAATCTCTTGATCAGAAAGTACCCTTCCAAAATGTGACTCTCAAATGGCAGCATTTTTCACAAGGGATCCTTGCAGGGCAGCATCACATCATATGGAATTAGTTTCCCACCCTGCTGAATGACTCATGAAGACTTAAATAGGAGTTCTAAAAGATACTGGGGCAATGGCAATGCAATACAAAATAAGTGCATCTAAGTGTTTGCACTATAAATACCAGGACCTTTTTCTATAGACTTGTTAGACTCTCACAGTCCTTTCAAGGTTCTTTGACTCTTAACTACTTTCTAAGCAAAAGCACCAGAGCATACCAAGCAAAAACTCCAAACCGGAATGCTGCTAACTCTAAACCCTGATATGTGGCAGTAGCAAAGAGACAGACAATGCCCACCACAAGGCTCCTATCCTTCTGCACACACAAGTCAGGTTTAAAGATGGGGGAATTCCCGAGACGGGTTGCTGGTTCCAAGGTGTGTGAGACAGAGAGAGAAAAGAGGCTATAGGGAAAAAGGACACAGCAGAGGCTGGTCACCAGGGCACAGGAAGTTTTCTTCTGCACTCAGTAAAAGGCCTGGAGTCCTCCAGAGAATTCAGGGTGGCTTACCTCATTCTCTTCCTCCTTTCAATCTCATCCTCGCAACAACAGCCTAAAGTCATCCAGTGAGCTCCATAGCTGAGGGGGACTAGAACCCAGATCGCCTAAAGCTCAGTCCACAGACTTCACCACAACACCACACTCATTCCCAGCCGGCATGCTAGATATAAAGGCCATGCAGGGTTGCCGGGGGCGGGGGGAGAGAGCAAGTGAGCTACCTCAGACTAGCCATATACAGACCCCCCCCCTTGAGCTGTTTTACCAATTTTATACAAATTCTCCTGAAAAAGGGTCCAGAAGTTCACTTTGAATCACACTGGAGGCAGGTTTGGTGATAAGTTGCAGGACTGTAATATTTCAGCCCAATACAATTTGGTCCAGGCCCTGTGTCACCTCAGATGCTTTCCTTCAAGTCTCACTAGTGTTTATCATGGCCAGGTGGGAACCTTTGCAGTTGTGAAAGGACCTCTCAAGAGCATCCTCCTGGATCCCTTCCACTACTTGCTTGATTAGGACAGTCTTATTTAAGCAGAACCCCATAGAATCTTGTGCTGTGTATTCTACTGCAATTTTAAACTGCAGTTGGTTTGGCTTACTACTTTCAGCTTAGGCTGCATTCTATCTTGCTTTCTGTTATATGTATTTTATATAAACTCTTTAGTACATACATCCTTTGCAAAATGTAAAGCGTGAATAAGCACACATTTTTCACCTTATTTCCATATGTTCCAGTCCTTGAAGTTGATAGTGACATTTTTCATCCTCTCTCCCCATCAAGAATTAAGTCATGCTGTGCTCCTTTTCTTGGGATGGTGGCTCCTCCCCCCCACCCACCCCCACACAAAGTTACAGACAGATTTATCACAGCCTCAAACCTTACAGTTTCCGCATCATTTTCTTACATTTGTCTGCCCAATTCTGCCAGCAGAGTTGTCTGGAGGCTGCAGTGGCGGAGCAGATGGCTCATTCCCAGGCACATGTTCCTTATTTGTGCCAACTGACTCCAGGCTGCTTCTCTCAGAATTTTCAAAAAACTTATTTATCAGTGCAGAAGTCTCAACACTGGATGAAGTAGACTCAGGGTTTGGAACGTTTATCTGTAAATAAATAATAGCTTCTATTGTCATTATGGAAGCTTGAATGGAAACATCTGTTAGCAGTGTAATCTTACGCATATCTACTCAGAGGTATATTGCCACTGAGTTCAACGAGATTTACTGTACTTCCAAATAGGGTATAGGAGTGCAACCTAAATGCAAGAGCATGTGGGTGGCCTGTTTACCTGCAACACTGTGTGTTCTTTTTTTAATCTTTACCTATGCTGGGTTCCAAGCACTGGACCAATATATAAACTCAGTCTCTGATACTTGTATGTTCAACAGTTGCACACCAGTCCACCATATACCTGAGTCACAGAGTTTACTTTTTAAAGGATAAAGGAATAAACTATGTAGACACTTACCAGACAATCGCTGGCTTCATTTTTTTGGGGGGGGGGGGGAGGGAAAAAAAGAGTATAAAAATAGCACATTAGAACATAATGCAGGAATAGTATAGGACTTCAAAACACAGTAGAAGCACCATTAATTTAAAATGGGTTAGCTGACCTTCAGATTCTTTTCATTCCTATAGTTCTATGGTCAATACTGTTCTTTCAATTAGAATTATAGCTCTTTGTTCATATACCATGTATGTACGATTGGATTTTCTCTTTGTGGGTCCTGATCCTGCCTTCTGAAGGAACAATATATGTCATGTCAGGATTGCAACCCTGAGTGGTGGCATGGAATTATATTTTCCAATCCTTGATCTCAAAGGATTTGAGTCCAATCCTTGATCTCAAACTTCCAAAAGGGGGTGAGGTATGAGCTGCTTGTCAAGGAGCTGCTTCCCCTGCCCATCTGGGGCTGTCGGCAGCCAAAGAATCTGTCCCCCCCAGCCCAATGCTGTGCTCCAACTGGCAGCATGTCCCCTGGGGCTCAAGCAGATAACTTGTCCATCACCTGTTACCTGATCCATCAAGCTAGAGATGCAAAGGATCTTAATCACAGAAAGCATGTACTTGGACTTGAAGTCTGAGCTATTATCCCCCCCGCCCCCATTTATGTCTCCACTTGAGTACATGTAACTCTGGAATGCTAGTTTGTTCAAGCATAGCCGAGTACTAAGAAATTACCTTTATCCTTTCTACAGCAAATGCATAATGTCAGTACAATTCCCAGGACCAAAAGTAAAATGACTACGGACACAAGAATAGCCCACAGTGTAGCATTTGTAGTTTCTAGAAAGGCAAGACATAATAATTATTAATTTGTTCACCATTCTGAGAACTGTTGCTAATAAAATGGCTAAATAAATAAATAAATAAATAAATAAATAGGCCTTTAAAACAAATCCAGATCACAACCCCCTTAGGCACAACCACTTCCTTCAAGGTCGGGCTACGATGTCCATAAGACTGAGCAGTCAATCAGCCGGAGCTGGCAGGCTGAGTCTTCCTAGGTCTCTCCCCTTGTGGGTTTCTGGTGGAACTGAGCTCCAGTGTGGGCCCACTTAGTTTTCAGTGGGCTTTGAGGAAGCCAGGAGAGACTCCATTTTCCTTCTGTCTATAGGAGCCATAAGGAAGATTAGGTAAGGAGAACAAACAGCACCAACTCCGAAGGAGAGCTCAAAACCAAAAGTAACTATTGTCTGTCTATACGAGAGAAAGAAAATAAGTTGAGGAACTCAGGAGTTTAAAGAAGGATCAAGGATGCAGAAAATTGTGCTATATAGAAGATCTATTCTGTGCAAAAATCAGGGATAAAGTTGCAGGGGGGAATCCAGATCTAGTAAACTACACAAAACTCTGCCATGTGGTCCCAGCATTTTTGGAGCAATAAAAGGAGTTAACCCATGATGGGGATGCCTTCCTCACACCAACCTGGAGAACAAAAAAGTTCTTTGGGCAGAGGCAGATGGCAACGACAGACAGAGAGCTGTTGTCTCTTATGTGTTTGTTGGCCAGTGCAAGACAGAGCATATATACACATGCATGTACACACACAAGCAAAAATACCACACAGATATGCATGCTTGTACACAAGCAAAAATGCCACAGTTACCTTTCAATGTACAGAAAAAAAAAGTGATGAGGAAAATTTCATGCTCCTTCCATGTTGCGGAATGCTTGAAAAGAGAGGAAGGGCAGGCTGCCAGTTAAGAGTGCCACATAATTTCCTATGCTTCTTCCTTCTTTTAAGTTCTCTTTGGAGCTTTAGATAGTTTTGGGATGCCAACTAATTTTGAAAAACTCTACATTTTTCAGTAACTCTACTCCCACCTCTAGTATTGCATGGAGCTTACATATTCATAGTTGGCTTTGCCCTGATGTAAAAATGTGCCAAGCACTTTAGTGCCATAACTCAGTATTATGATTTTTTCCAACTAGCACACTTAAAAGCTGCCACATTGCAAAATGCAGCAGTGAACACCCTGCAGCAGTGAGTTTTACTGAAATTAGATGGATAGGACAGATAGACTCTTTCATCCCTACCACACTGAGTCCCAATTACATTAGCTGCAATAGCATAGTGGAGAAGCATCATAGTTTGAAGATGCTTGGTTTCATTAAACCATAGCTAAGCTTCAGCACCCTTTGCCTGGGTTCAGACATAACGGTAAACGACCCTTAGTTTTGTCAGTCATTAGTTAAAGCTAGAAGCAAAAGCTCTGACTGTACCAGAGAAAGGGAAAGGAGAATCACAGAAACCTGAGGCTCATGCAGATAACACTAACCTATAGTTTACTGTTACATCACAGTGAGGTCTGTTTTTAGTCCTGGAGATAAGCGCAAACTGGGATCACCAACCAGACGTACCAGTGAGGGACTCTACCCAGGGATAACTTTCATACCGGCAGAGAGTTATTTCCCTTTGCTTATTAAATTATCTCTGCTAATATGGATTTTGCATTGGAAAAAATGCTCCTGACTGAGACAGTGAGGCTCCCCCATCAGCCTAGCTTGGCTTAACTGGTATTTGGCCCTTCCTTTCCTAGAATAGTCTCCACTCTCCATGTAAACTTTTCCTGGCGAGCCCCAGCAACCCACTGCAGAGCAACTTAAGCCATTTTAGATCCAAAAATGTCTTGGCATGGCCCAGAACCCCAACCCCTCACTCCCATAAAAAAGTTAGGTCCAAAGGCTTGGAGGGCACAGAGGATGGGGTTCCTGAACCACCAACGAAAGGAGAGAAGCAGGCATTTCATAAGAGTGACTCTTATTCACCCCAATTTTTCCACATCAGCTCTCTTCTCCTCCTCCTCCTCCTCTGTAAACTCTACCTTTAGCTTGCAAGCTGCAAGGGTAGGATGTGTGCAGTTCTGAAGCTTTCATCACACCTGTGGATGCTTTATAAAGGCAAGCTAGTGGGACCTGCAACTAAATATTGCGGCATGGAATGCTCCAGTATTTTCATCAGCCCCTCACCCTTCCTTCCAGGGTATTTCATTTCATTACCGCTCCAGATGGGATTCCATCTCCCCGTCAGTCAGCATCTCACTTAACAGAGTCTATCGGTTTGTTTCGGTTCCCACCACCCACCTTTGGGTCTCCCCTAAAGTTTTTGTGCTTCTGCAAACCTTGTGGTTCTTCCAAGCCTGCTAATACCTTTCTTGTGAGTGTGGCCAGCGGTATTTTGGTCACATAAGCACCAGCATTCATGCCTGAATATTGGAAATAGAGGGGAGTGTAATAAATGGTCAAATCTACGAATTCAGGTCAAAAACAAGCTACAATGGGCAAGCCAGCCTCCCAAGCTAAACATACCATATAAAATTAGAATGGAATATATCCTTTATATCTTCATGGCAAGTCTAATTTGGAATCTGAAATCATCCTTCTGTGGTCTAAAACTACAGCTGACAAAAACAAGAGAGACAAGAAACTAGAAATCGGGCTATTCATACTTACCGGTAGGAGGTGACCCACATTCCGTGTCTGTAGTGGCACTGCAGCTGCGTACAACCACCTGCCCTTCAGGACACCTAGATTTTTTCAAAAAGACGATGATGACAACAGGCTATTTAACCAATGGGCACTGGGGACTTTATTATATTTCAGTGCATATACATGCGACACATAATTAAAGATGTGCCCTCTGAAAAAATAACACAAACATCTATCACTTCAGCCAGATGGCGGAATGAATGGAATTGTACACAAATGAATTTGCCACTGAACGTTCTTCAGTGCTCTCCTCTGAATATGCAGGCTGGTAGATGATAGAAACATTCAGTCGTTTTCCAGTAGCAGTCAACTCGAAAGCATTTGACAGCTGAAGCAAAAGAATATATTGTAAATTCTGTACAAATCACAATTTAAAAACCCATGTTTTTTAATATCAAGCTTTCAGATATAAAACCTAAATGTCAAACTATGGAGTCAAATTGAGACATTTTGTTTTTTTCCTGAAGTTTTATTTCAGCTTTAGTGACAATGGCCTGCTTAGATGACGCACCAGGCTCACTGTTATTTAGCCCAAGCTGTGACATGGTGCATACCAGTGGCCAGTTTGAATATGTAACTCCCAGTAGAGTTGTGCCATGTCATGCAAACTCTTGCAAAACTTTTGGTTTATTAACTCTCATGCAACCCCTAATGGCCTGCTTCACATATAACAGTGCAATCCTGTTGCAGACTGCATATTCAAAATCATGCCTAGCACACACTGCAGCTCACTGTGGCTTGAATAAGTCATGGCAAGCCCAGTGTAGTGGGGCTCTCACAGAAGACAAGAAACAAACGGGTTTTATATGAAGAAAGGCCTATATATTGCATGCAGAGCAACCAATGTGAGATTCTCTGTGTATCTGAAATCAGAGACAAAACTCTCCTATGCAAAAATTAAGCATGTATTAAACTCATTATTTCTATTTCAAGCCTCAAAATTGGATTGTTTTAATTTTTTTCTTAAATTAATTTTCTAAATTTCACCTTTCAAAAACACCCTGGTTCAAATTAAAGATGAATACAGACATGTTAAAAGATACACTTATAATCTCTTATAACTGAATCCATGGTTCTCTTCAAACATATTTACCCAGTTCAGAAGTAAAAGGAAGCCATGCTTTTCTGCTTCCAAAATGAACCTTGGAGAACCTCCATCTCATGCATCATGCTCTCACCCCCTCATCAGGTTTATAGTAGAAAGTAAAGTTTCCTGTTACACCTGAACATTTCCTGTTACATCAATTGACATAAAGGCTGCTTCTTTAAATAACTAAAAAACCTGGGAATCATCTTGTTGAGATCATGTGTCATAAATATGTCACAATAGGCAGTATGATAGATTAGTATTATGGGCTTGATGCAGGTGCTCAGAAATTGGGAGGACACCAAGATCCAGCCGCTTGCTCCAAAGTATGCTATCTTACATATCACAAGGCCTATCATCCATTGCAACCACCTGGATGTTCTTGGGTAAGACCAATTTTTTAATCATCTTCAGAACTTGCCTCTCCACAACTTCCTCATTTCTCAAATTAAGTACAATCAATGTCTATAAGCAAACAGATAAATTTCATGTTTGTTCTATAAAAAGGAAATTGATTTGCCCAGTTTCCCACCAGCCTTTGTTTCTGGAATTTTACTACTAAGAAATGTTCATGTGAAATCCCATGAGCAGCTGCAGCAAGGAACAAAATTATGGACTCTCGATTACTGGGGTTAGGTAAGATTAGCCAGGTGGGATAGTGCTTCAATGCTAAAGGATGGGCAGAAATGAAACAAAGTAGCAAAAGATGCATATTGTCCTACATAATATAAATGCCCTGTCTAGCATGCCTTAACCATCAGGATAACCAATTCACAGGCCTCATTGCTTAGCAAACATAAATATCAAAAGTAAACATTTATATCACCCCAAAAGGCCAACTTAATATAATAGATTTCTGTCATAATACAGCACCTTGATTTAAAAGGAGCCAGTCTTCCCAAAGTGTTCTTACATATTTGCCCAACCCAAGCCTATCATTACAGATGACAACATAAACCCCTGGATGGACATACTTTTTGGTGCATCTGATACATTCCTCACAGCCTGGAGGACAGTAATAACCACTTTTACACTGACACTCCGTGTTGTTCTTCACAGTGCAGTGCCTCACCTCTACGAATCCTAAAAGAAAAGAAACAGGACAAAGATGTTCTGATCTCATCATCACTGCCATTATTCTCTACTGTTACTTGTCCCCTGACCCGTATCAGATCATCCCAGCAAGAATATTTTATGTATTCATTTATTTTTCGATTTATATCCTGTCTTTTTCCTACAAAGGGCTCAAGGCAGCTTACATCACCTCCTCCATCTTATCCCCACAACAACAACCCTGTGAGGCAGGTTGGGCTGAGAGTCTGTGACTGGCCCAAAGTCACCCAGTTGGCTCCATGGCTGAGCGGGGACTTGAACCCAGATCGTCTGAGTCCCAGTCCCATGCTCTTAACCACCACACCTCACTGGCTCAAGAATATGGTCCTGGACAGAGACAAGACTCCTCATCCCTGGCCAACTTAGACATGAAGGTGCCTTTTCCAGAAAGTCAGAGAAATGCAGCATCATGTAATTGAGGGGGAAACAATGTGGTGTCCACAGGCACCAACACACCTCTGGATTCTTCCCTTGGTGCCAGCCAAGGGGTCCCACTCCTCCCACTTTTTTCCTTAAACAAAACAAAAAAGCAAGTGTTCTTTCTGGCAGTTGGGATTCCTTAAATGCAAAATGGGGGCCTCCAGCCACTGCCATCTCCAGTTCCCATCAAGGCTTCTTTACCATACATGGGGTTGAGAGACAGGAAATGGAAGATGGCAGGTGATCAGCTTGATTTCCCAATAAAAAAGGAACCCCTGACACTGTTGTCTGGCAATCTGGGGAGGGACTACAGCGAACAATGGGGGGCTGGGGGGGGGGCAGTAGGAAGGACACTATTAAGCCAGCAGGGGGATCAGAAAACCCAGATGGGTGAGGAGCAGCCGGAAGCCAGCAGAGGACTAGGGGAACCAATTAGGAACAACCTGGGCCATTTGGGAAGGCTGTGCGCTCACATGGGGGCTGCATGTATGTGAGAAGCAGAGGCAGAAGGAAAGAGCAGGGAGGAATATTTAAGGTGGTCCAGTGAGAAGGGATTTCAGAGTGATCCTGGAAAAGCAGATGTTGTTTTTCTTGTGCTTGCAGTGAGCCAGAGAAGTAACAGATGTGTGTTCATGCATAATGAATCCATGGGCATGTGAATGGTCCTGCACAGTTGGGTCCAGTGTGTGCATGACTGGGGTCTTGCTGAGAGACCCCAGCCCAGAAGGGTCCACTGGCAGGATGCCCCAGGAGCTGCTCTTCCTCTTCACCTGCTTGATCGCCTGCCTGTGACTCTAGTCTGGGCAATGGCGGTGATGAAAAAGAAGAGCAGCAGATTCCACGGCATCCTTGTCTCCTGGTCCTGTCTGCCAGGCAAGCACTAGGAATGAAGAGGGAGAGGATGAGGAACTGGCCAAAATGCTGATGAGAAGAGCAGCAGACCAGTGAGGTGCCTTGCCCAAGAATCCTCAAAAACCTGGGCTAGCATGGTGTGTATGCATGTCTGAATGATAGTAAGCACAGGTGGAGGGAGAGCACCACAGAGAGTGGAGAGAGAACGTGTGAATGGTGATCTGGAAGAGTGAAAAAAATAGTGGGGAGAGAGAAAAACATTTGCTTTCTCTGAACTAGGCTTCTATTGGTGCAGAAAACTGATCTGAAGATTCTTTCATCTGCTGGGGCTCAGATTCCACCTCTGTCACATATTTAGTCCTTCAGGCAGGTACTTGTCCTTTGAGACTTTCCATGCCTTCCACAGAAGCTATTTGGCAATGGTGCTCAGTACACTTTCTCAGATTTCAGAATGTGCCTCTGGGCTCAGACAGGATTAGGGATGCCTAACACAATGGATCAGGAGAAAACAAGCAAGCTTTTAAAAAGTGAGTACTAGAAAAGAACACCTTTAAGTAGTGGTCCCAAATCTATGCTTACCAAAGTTGCATGGTTTGCAAGGCAGGCATTGTTCAAGACCATTTTCATGTTCAGTGTAGTCTTCACCTTCTGTGCAACGCCTGCAAGTACCCAAGGTGGATGGAAAGATGCAGTGCTCAGCCACATAGGTACCTGTTACATAGGAAACCCCACAATTTAAAATTAAGTGCTGTAATTCCAGATGTAGGCATCTGCTTTTAACTACCACATGAATCTTATGACTGCCTTAAGGCCACATTTTGCAAGCAATGTCACCCCAGAACTTAGACAACCCAGTTCCACTCATGAAAGAAAGTCCCATGGCTCCAACTAGGAGTTATTCCCCAGCCAGCATAGAATCTTTGCACACTTCCTAGAAAGCAAATTTTGCAGAACTCATTTGGTAGACCATCTGGGTGTTTACATTTTGCACAGCTGAGGGAGCAGAGTGCATGTTGGCCAGGTTAACACTTACTAGGTTTTGAAAGTACTCAAAATTACTGTGGACAAGAATAATGAACAGACAGGGCTCCAACCACAGACTTACACTCTAAAAATGCTACACAGTCTCCACACGAATGATTTAAAGTTAGGATTATTATAACTTGTCACCACAAATTTTTCTTCCATCCCCTAATGTCAAAATCACACATTGCCTGCATCAATTTATGTTCAAAGGTGTACAAGAAATCCTATCAGCACTGATTGCTGAGGGAGCGAGGGGAGGGACACAGAGTCTGTATCCACGGGACAAACGTGGCCAAAGTGTTGTGGAAGCTCAGTGGTAAATGAGATGCTTTGCATGCAGAGGGTGTCAATCTGCAGCATCCCCCACTAGCACAGGAAACATTCCTGCCAGAAACCCTGGCTAGCCAATGCTGACAGTCTGTTTTGCCATTACTGGACTAGATGGAGCAAGGATCCAACCTGATAGAAGGTCTATGTTCCTAAGGGCTGCTATTAAAATACAAGCATCAACAACATAGCGCTAAAATAGATTCAGTGACACATGGTAGCATAGTGCTTCTGCCTTAAGTTTCCCAAGGGTGAAAGTGCCCAGCCAGCACCACTGACCAGTTCCCAAGCAGGATGGATGCCCTTGTCAAAGGGCACAACAAGGTGTCACCGGAGGTGCTATGAATGACAGCAGTGCCCAGCAAGGGCCATGGTATTAGTCTGTGGCACATACTGGATGCTGCAAGCCAATCACCCCTGTGAAGTGGAATTTCTGGAAAAAAACAGATTTCTGGAATGTTTCCAATGCAAATAAAGTTAATTTGCAGAAAATCATTTTGTTTGTTCTGTTGCCTGAGAACAAGGCTAGGAAACATTTGGCACTTTAGGCTTACAGCTTTAGCCTTAAAGCTCATATTTTCCTTCACTGTGCTGGTTTAGAGCTTATAGGAGCCAAAGCCCAAAACATCTGAAAGTTGCCCATGCCCGTGGTATTTAGTAAGCAAATCTAAAAAAGTGCCCCATGATAATTTTGTGTCCCAAACTGCCACAAGTATTTGACCTGAAACATTTGAAGAAAAAAATTAAAGCACACAATGCATTTAAGCTCTTTTAATTAAAACATCTGTAAAGGTTTGCAGACCTTTGCGTGCACTTCCCTTACATTGTTTAAAGTCAAGAAAATAACAAAGGTATTGAAAACTACTAAGCACTAATACATTTTAGCAACCCAAAACTAAAACAACTGGAAAATTTTCCACCACATATCACTGTTTACTTTCCTTTGCTTGGTGCCTTCCAGCATACGGGACTCTCCTACCACTGTCACTTGCCAGTATGATGGCACTTGCAACAGCTCTAGGGCAGCTGCATGATTTGTAGTCCAGACATGCAAAGGAGTCACTTGTTTGATCACCAGTACGACTCCAATGGTAAAAATAGTTTGCAAGAAAGACATTTCTTCAAACAGTACAGATGAAATAAAGGAAACAGTTTTACAGTTTTCCAAACAAAACCAGAAATGTGTTTAAAATAAAGTCAGAAGATTTCAAAAGGGTCTTAATGTTAGGCCTTAGAACTTGATGTGGTTTCTTATTATTATGATAGGGATAGTTATATTTAAACTAAAACAAATAGGTTTTGAACAGTACCTATGACTGGGGTGACTTTGATTCCAATCCCCATTCAAATTTGATGCTCACTTGGTGATCCAGTGGTGTTGCTAGGCACCTAACAGATCTAGGACTTAAGACCACCAGACAAATTTTGTTTTGTTTGTTTAGTCGTAAAGTCATGCCCGGCCCATCGCAACCCCACGGACAACATTCCTCCAGGCTCTCCTGTCCTCCACCATCCCTCAAACTCCACCCAAGCTCACACCCACTGCTCTGGTGACTCGATCCAGCCACCTCATCCTCTACTGTCCACTTCTCCTTTTGCCATCAATTGCTCCCAGCATCAGGGTGCAGGACAAATAAAAGTGCACAAACTTCTTTTCATATGTGCTAAAGTATGCATATTTCTTTAAAGGACCGGTCCTCATTTGTAAATGCATGGATGAGAAAGGAGGGCTTTTAATTTCAGGGGGGAAATGTCAGGCACAGAGTTAAGGGAGAGCAGCAGGAGGTAGGGCACATGTGGGCAAAAAGCCAGCTAATCCAGAGGGATCGGATGCAGCAGAGATCGTCTGGGCCCTGTACCTTAATATCAGCAACAGGACAGCAGGGCAGAAGACTTCTCAGAGATTAGGGGCTTGACGAAAAATCTGGAGCAGCAGCCCTAGTGGGCCACCTTCGAACACTGCTTCTGTGATGATCTGGTTGAGCCCCTTACCATACAACAGCATGCCATATCACACAGGGTGGTTGTGGACTTCAGTGGGGAGAAAACTTCCTCCTTGGAAGGCGGGAAATACATAGCTAAGAAATTTTTGAAAACCTATCCAGATTTAAACGGTTTTAATGCACATGCTTCTGTCTTTGCTATGTAGAAGACGACCATGTTTGGGGACCCGCTGCCAAGACATTCTTATTTTACAGAGAACACACATCCTTTTCCCCATGGAAGAGGCATCCGCCTCAGGGAATGGAGGAAGATGCCACCCATTCTTAACTTGACCAGATGGATATTTCAAGAGCCGATACACCATCTTAGTGAAGAGCATGAGCCAGGAAGACCTGCTTCACATCCCAGACTTGCCCCTGCCTCTCAGTCAGAAATCTGGAATGGGCCATCATGGGTCAAGGGCCATCTGGTGGGGGGAATCTATTAACCATGCACAGGCTGGCATCCTTACAGTTGTAGGAACAAAAAGAAGAGCAAGAGGAGGTGTGAATGAAATCTGCCCGACTCACATGCTTTACCTCTCCACACTCTGCTGTTTGACATGATTTTCCCCAATCTGTCTCTCATAACCAGAGTGGGACAGCCTGGGGGCAGAAGGACCACTTAGAACAGCAGAGTGAAGCAGGGAGCAGGCGAGCGCTCCACCCAGCCCACCGCCTCTGCCTCTTCTTTACAGTGAGTTCCATCTGCACCATTTAGGCACACTGGGACGTGTGTGCATATGACAACAACCAAATGTTGATCCATGGTACAGGTTGAGTCTAAGGATTTCAGATAAGGTTCACACATGCAGAAGGACTGCAATTTTCCCAGTTGTTTCATTAAGATTAATACCAAACGCTATTATGGAGTTGTTTGAAATTAACCATTCACCGACTCAGATGGGTTCAATGCCCTTTGCTAAAATATTGAATCATTGTGTGACTCTTACCTGCAGGACAGTTTTTGCAGCATTGTCCAGAATAAGGATATTCACCAGTAGTACAGCGTATTTTCAGTGCGGGCAATTCCACCTAAAAGATGGAAAGGCAGATTTCAAATGAATAGACTCTCCAGATGAATCATCCTATCTTAATACGAGATTTATGGGTTGTTTTGAAACTCACTTCCTGCTCTTTAGCATGCTTACAGGGGGAACATTCTTTTGCTCAAGTTTTGAGTAAATCTGAGTAAAAACTTACCTTTTGTTAGAAAATGAAGTTTGATTCTGCCATTTTAAGGAGAGAGGCATCACATATTCTTTTCCATGTGAATATGGTCACAATATCATGGGCTCCAAATTGCATGCAATATGAGATTCTCGTCTAACATGAGTAAGCAAGGTCGTTAAGACTGCAAGACAGATCTCATTTTGTAAAGGACTGACGTGCCTGCACACGGCGGCTGCCTGCTTTCAGCATTAAAGGAAGAATGGCAAGTAACAGTCCGTGCAAACAGCAGAGAGATGAAACACCAAGAACCTGCACTGCCATGGCTGCCATACACAAGCGATGGCTGCTGAGGGAGAGCAGCATGGGCAGAGGCTAAATCCCTGGCCCATCCAATTCCACTGAGAAGTGAAACAGTCCAGTTCAAGTTCCAGCTGCTCCCTTATAAGCAGCTACGCAATCCAGAGCACAGTGTGCTATGAAGAGGAAATGCGTGACAGGAAGCTCTCTGTGTAAAAGAGCCAGCGAGCCAAGACAGGCACCAAAGCAATAAGCTGCCAAGGGCAAGTCCATGAGCGAGAAGGACACATTCATGGAAGAGCAGGCTATCAGCAAGCTACTAGTCCTGATGGCTATACGCTACCTGCAGTGCCATAGGCAATTACTGGGGAACCTGGGTCAGAGGGTGATGTTGCATTGCTGTCCTACTTGGGCACCTTCTAGGCCAGTGGGTCACCAACTGTGTTCTGTGAAATCCTAGGGTTCCGCAAAAGCCTTGTAGGGGTTCCGTGAAAAATCTCAAAAATCAGATTTAAAATGGATTTTAAAATGAAACCACGTGAGGCCAACTAGTTGATTGTCAGTTGGCGTCCAAGGAAATGCATCACATCATTTGGTTCCTAGGACTCTATTGCATAGTAGTGGGAATAAGCAAAAGAGTTCATTTGGGATATTACCATATAATAACTTTATTCATAAAATTATCAGAGTAAAATTTACTCAAAAACTGGGTGTTACATAGGAAATTGGAAGCCATATTTGAATTAGTGTAAAAATGATCCACAATATATTTTGATTTAACAAATTACATTAAATCTGGGGTATAATTTTGGCTGATAACATAGAATCTATGCATGTACTTACAATTTACTCACTATTTTAGGCTAGAGCCAATGTTTCCTTCTATCAAAAACGTTTGCAATTATATCCAATATTTTCTTGTATCAAAATAAAGGTTTGTTATATTTAAAATATTTTTTATTTCCAAACCTACTATATTATGTAAAGCACTTGGGCGACAGGAGCAGATGAAAGGAGGAGGAACATTATGGGTTCACAATGCTTAGTAAAAATCAGAGTTAGGATTCCATGAAATAAAAAATGTCTTCAAAAAGTTCCATGACCAAAAAGGTTTGGAAACCACTGTTCCAGGCTACTGTGTGAACAGAATGCTGGATTAGATGGGCCCTGCCTTTCTTACGTTCTTAAACATGAAAGGTGAAAATAATGGAACAAGAACTTGGATTGCATCCAATGGAATGTCTGGAATGTCTTCACTAGTGCCAGGGAAGTTATCAAGAGATTTTGAAAAAAATGGCAGGGGAAAAAATACCTTCAGAGGGTTGGGTGGCCTAACCTGGGCCACAACTCAGGTCGAGAAGTTATTGCATCAATTTAAAATTTGTATATGCTTTTCAACCCTAAAACTGGCTCCCTCTGTAGCAAAATTTTAAAAATATCTAAATATGATTTCACCTAAGTTATCTTTTTACTCTACCTGTTGTGATTTAACATCCAAAAAAGAAAAAAAAACTGAAACACCTGCAGGTCTTTTGATGCACTTTCGTTGGTCCTCATTAATGTACTGACTAATCATGGGGTTTGGTGGTTTCTGTTATCAACCAATGCAGCTTCTTCATTTGCTTGCTTTCTGTGACACTCAGATGAACTCTAATTGAGGGCACAACCACATGCTTGCTTAGACAGCTCCCATGCAAGCTCTTTGCCCCCCTTCCACCAGCTCGGTCCAACATTTAATAAACAAAGAAACAATCATCCAGTCTGATCACAGGCAGTGTTAAGTGGGGAAGCTGGCCATGGCCGCAGGAATGTCTGAGCTGTGCCATGGACCTTTTACAGCAGCCCCACGAGCTTCCTATAAGGCTGCTTTTTCCCTCTGAACTTGTAGCCTTGCAGTTACAAGGAGACCCTTGGACTCGCTCCCTGTGCTTCCTAACAGGGACTGTAGCATGAAGGCACCCGCTTTTTAAACTAGCAGCGAGACTGACACTGCTCCTTCCGCGATTGGCTCACTATTTTCATTACAGCCAGAGTCCAAAACTGTGTCACCTGGGTTTTAGAGCATGCCCGATTCTGCAGAGACTGGCCCAGTCAGGTGCTACTGACCAGTGAGGAAGAGGAAGTTCAGGCGCATTAGCTGCTCATCTATCAACTGGAGAATCAGAGGCCTTCCTCCTCATCTTTTGCTTCATCCAAGCTGGCCCAGGCTTCCTACTTTGGGGAAAAATAGCATGGGGCTTGTTTGCAAAAATGGTTTGAATGAACAGCAAGTCCGTACATGGAACAAGCTATTATATATGAATGTGCATCTTGTCCTGACTTGCTGAATGTGTCTGGAGCTCCTTAGCTCTACAGTCATCTGTAGTATACCTGCTTTTTGCACGGCCCATGTGGCCAGATTTAGGTGGGTCCATGGTGGTCCTTGGCATTAGGAGTTTGTACTTGCCTACAGAAGAGTGTATACAAGTGGGAGGAGGATAGGGGCTTCTTGCTCCTTTGTGTACAGAAGCCACAATATTTCATGGTGCCTTAAAAGCTTACAAATTTACTATGGTATAAGTTTTCATGAGCAGAAGGTCACTGTACAGAAATTTTAAAAGTTGTTGCTTTTCATGTGACTGGGGAAACAATGGCACTTGCTAAAATACAGGTAGGGGACCCCTGATTATCTCTGTTGCATCAGATCCCCTTGGACTAACTGTCTTTGCTTCCCCTTCTGGAGCCTCCCCTGAATCATTCTGCCAGAGGTTTTTTCCTAAAACCAAATGCCCGCCACTTCCTTTTCCATATATCTCTTTTCACAAATAGGGGTGTCCTTATAAGATAGGATTCTTTAAAAGCATATATATGACTTCAATAAGTTAGAACCCAAGAACTGTTTCTAAAATGGTATTCTAGAATCCTAGAAGCTACCAAATGTTTGAAAAGAAAGGAGCTGTCCCTGTCTCTTTACCAGGAACAGGAACCAGGAGAAGCAAAGCATCCTCCTCCAGTCCTGAGATTTCTGTCCAGTGCTGCTTGATTGTACTGATTAGGCAGGAGATGAGCAAATTAGGATTTTCCCAAAAATAAATCCCACTGTGTTCAGTGGAGTTTACTCCCTAGTAATTGTGTCCATCTGCAGCCTAAGAGCACTGGCTATTATAGCCTACAGTATATTCCCATATTCTCCCGTGCTGGCCTGCCATCTCTTCAGCTAACATATAGTTGGCAAATATTTAAAGTCCCATGCAGCTCTTTGCTGGTCCCAGGCACCCCATATGCAAATGTGTTTCCCCTCATGGGCCTGAACTCTGAGTCTTTTAAGTATCTACCACTACCCCTGAGCTAGAGGAAGAGATCTAGAACTTGAAAGTTTTCCCAGAGTTTATGAATTTTGGTTGGTGGTAATAAAAGATAGTGCCTAATTTAAATATAAATTTAAAATATTTATATGCTGTCCTATTCGCAAAAAAGCCTCAGGATGGCTTACAATATAAAATATAACATAAATAAATTCCCGACCCACACTGGCTGCAGCTAAAAACATAGAAAAGACAATATTAAAACTCATTAAAATATCGCTGGAATAAAAAGGTCTTAACCTGGCGCCAAAAAACAAATAACAACGGTGCCAGGTGGACCTCTCTGGGGAGCGCATTCCATAGATGGGGCGCCAGCGCAGAGAAAGTCCTCCTCCAGGTACTTTGCCTCCTAATATCTTTCACGGAGGGTTCCCAGAGGAGAGCCTCTGCTGCAGATGATCTCAAGGGGCGGGAGGGCAAATATGGAAGAAGCCGTTCCTTTAGGTATCCAGGTCCCAAGCCGTTCTTTTTTTAAAAGAAAAGGCCCTTCTTTTTTAAAAACCTCTTCCCAAAATAACATGTTCAGAGTGCCTTTTTATCACCTAAGTAGCTGCAGATATTCTACACACAGGAAACATAGAAACAGAGTGAGAGAAGAAACAAAACTTTAACAGTTGAACTAAAAAGGTAATAGTCTGCAGGCCTGAACTGCAGCACCGCTCACTCTGTCATTGCACCAATGGACCTAGAACAGCTATAAGTTTCAGGAAATGGACAGAATCACATATGAGTCAGAGCTTCCAGACTGAGGTGGGGAGGCCAGTGTGAACTTTATGCAGAGTGGAAAGGGAGAAAAAGCATGGAGTTCTGGAAGTCCTTTACTGGAAATCACAAGCAATGAATAAGACATTGAAACTAATTTAGCCCTGAAATGATTTTTGCTGTTTGGTTTTTTAAATGATTTTAACTGGTCAGAAGAAAGTTTTGTTTTCCAAGTCCAAGACGTTTTAGTAGACTCTTGCCAGAAAAAAATAAGTTTCAAAAACCTGCAACACCTGTTGAGCAGAGGCAAGTGGGGGGCTTGAGAGAACTGTGGAGGAGTGTGACAGCCTTCCTCAGCCTAGCGACCTGCAGATCTGTCAGACTACACCTCCTATCCTCCTGTTCAGGGACAAGGGGAGCATTAATCCGAAGCTCATGCGATGGGACAGCATACAAAAAAAATCTAGATAAATAAATAAATAATCGAACACATCCGCAGGGAACCAGATTGGAGGTTCCTCCCTGCGACTGACAATCGGGCAATGGCGGTAGAGATATAATGTACAGTGATAGCAACAATCATGTTATTACAATAGCTTTGACTTTTTGAACTGCGAAACTTCAGGTTACCTCTACGGGGCAACAATGAACCACAAGGAGAGAAATTACTGAAGTTTCGGCCAACCACCCGGCCTACAGCTTAACTTCCTTCCTACCCAACTTCAAGCAAACAAACATCGACGGGGTTCACAATACAGGAAGAGACACGTATCGAACAGAAGGTATCAAGCACGACTTCGGAGCACCACGGACCAGGCTGCGCCCACGGCCCCTGCCCCAGAGCCCCCCCCCCCCCGCGCCCGGGCGTGCGCAGGAAGTCGGCTCCGCTCGCAGGCGAGAGGTGTTCGTGCCAAGGAGAGAAAACAGGCGCCACCGTGCAGAGGAATCAGCTGGCCTGGAGCCGAGCGGAGGACTCTGGCGAAGGCGAGCGCCGCCTGCCTGTCCGTGTGGAATTCCCCGCGTCCCCAGCCTCTTTCCCGACCCGACCCCGGAGTTTCCGCAGCTTTCCTCATCGCCGCCTGCCCCCCAAAACTCACCTCCTTCAGCAACGCCAAGAGCGCCAACAACTGCAGCCAGAGCCCCAGAGCCATGCCGCAAACGTCTCCCGAACTTGCGCCCGAAATCACACCGCGCCTCTCACTTAACGCGCAACCATGCGCCGTATGACGGGGTGGGGGTTTTGCCCAGTGATGTTGCCCCCGCCGCAGTTATTACAGAGACAGAAGCAAGTCCATCCACGATTGAGCCGAAACAAGAGCCTGCCACTCTCACATATTCGCACTCACCGTAAGGCGCGGCGCCGCTAACTTTTTATACCGCCCTTTGACGTCACCAGTCCGCTTCGTGCAGCGCCGCTCCACAAAGCCCCACCTCCCTGGGTAACGCTACGAAGGCGCTGCTGCAGGAATGGACTGCTGGGGTGGTTCTCTGTGCACCTGGGCAGGAGTGGCGCATGGGGCGCCGCCGAGGAAAAGGACTCTCCCTTCTCCCTTGAAGGCTGAGGGCCGCCTCATTCTTCTCAAATGGGTCTGGAGCCGCTGGAGCGGGTGGCTGGCTCTCCAGCGGCTTCACGCTTTTTCTGCCCGGCGGAAGGCAGAAGGTGTTCCTTTGTTTGTTCGTGTGTGCCTGCTGTCAGACGGGGTTTGTTCCCATTTTTTTTATTTTTTTTATTTTTTATTTTTCAATTTATATCCTGCCTTTTTCCTACAAAGGGCTCAAGGCAGCTTACATCATTCTCCTCCTCCATCTTCTCCCCACAACAACAACCCTGTGAGGTAGGTTGGGCTGAGAGTCTGTGACTGGCCCAAAGTCACCCAGTTGGCTCCATGGCCGAGCGGGGACTAGAACCCAGATCGTCTGAGCCCCAGTCCCACGCTCTTAACCACTACACCACATTTATGGCATTAAAGGTGAAACGAACTTTTGCAAAGACGAAAGCTTTGTCACAATATGGTTGCTAAAAGCCTGACACTGTAAGAACAGTTTTAGACTTAGGCTGTTGCAAGTCTTGCTCCCTGTGTACACCTTAGTAACGCTAATTGCTTGCCTATCCTCTGGAATTACACTCTTAGATATAGTTTGCCTGTTCTGAAGGTCCTTTGTGTTGTTCCTGATCTGATGAGAAGCTGGTGTTGCAAGTCTTGCTTCCCAGGTGCACCTAGTATTATAGAATAGTAGGGTTGGAAGTAGCCAAGAAGGCCATGGGGCCAACTCCCTGTTGGTACAGGATGCGAAGCCACACCATCCCATTCAGATGATTGTCCTGTCCTGTCTTGCCTTGAATGTCTGTAGTGTGGGACAGCCCACAACTTCTCTAGGCAGCTGGTTCCACTGTCATATAACTCTGACAGCGAGGAAAATTTTCCTGCTAGCTAGCCTGAATCTGGGTTGTTGCAACTTGAATTAATTATTCTGTGTCCGATGTTCTGGGATAAGTGAGAAGAAATCTTGACCTTCCTCTTTGTGAAAGCTTTTGAGGTACTTGTAGAATGCTAGCATATCCCCTCATAGTCTTCTAGAAGCTGAACATACCCAGCTTTCTCAGCCTCTCATCATAGGGCTTAGTCTTATCCCTTTTGTCTTATCCTAATGTGACTCTAGCAAACTGTCTACGTTGTCCCCCACCTGATCTTCACTCCTCCTTCAAACTGTATGTAGCTGGTAGGTTATAAAAGCTTCTTGTACAGACTCCATCTTTGTGGTCCCTTCAGGATGGCCTACACACTGCATGTTTTTCCTATATGTCTGAATAAACTGTAAATGTTCTTTTCACTGTACACCTAACAAACTCTTCTGGTAGTTTTTTCAGTCCTGTCACCTCCTACCACCCAGGACCTCAGAATGTTTTATTATTAATTTATTACATTCATATCCTGCCTTTTTTTTTTCTTTCAAGGAACTCAAGACAGCTTACATCATACTCCTCTTCCCCCTCTCAATTTTATCCTCACAACAACCCTGTGAGGTAGGTTTTCTGGGAATCAGTGATTGTCCCAAGGACCTGCATGCAGTGACCTGCATGCAAGAGTGGAGACTAGAACCCAGCCTCCTGAGTCCAGAACTGCAACTGCTGGGCCAGAGAGAGGCTGTGAAATGGAGTCCAACATACCCAGAGGGCCCTGGGTTGGGAAAGGTTGATCCACTGCTCAGATATATACCACACTGTTTAAGCATCCAAGAGCAGCGCTCTCTGCTTCAAACCAGATCAGGGGGCTAGCTGTGATTGAAGGGATGAAGCTAAAGTAGCTACATCCAGACATGAGGGCTTATGGGGAAGCTATAAAGGCATCCGTGAGGTGCTTCTCCAGTCTTTATAACCTCTACACTAGACTGGTGCTGGCATGAGCTTCCAGGGCTGGGGCTGGGGCTGGGGCTGGAGGAACACTCAGCCTCCACGGTGGATGCAGAATGCGGCTGCCTACCTTGCAGGGATACTTCGCACCACCTCTAGAGACTTTGGAGACTGGGAGGAGTTGGATCTGCAGGACAAGACTCTCCTTTCCCACCCACTCTTGCCATTAGTGCTCCAGTACTGAGGAAGTTAGCAATGTGGGATGCTGCAGCAGGGGCTGGGAGTGGAGTTCCCCGGCTGGCTTTCCCTCTCCCTCTCCAACTGTGGCGTTTTCTGTCCCTGGATACCTGAACACTCCTATGGCCCGAGGGATCTCCTTGCAGGAGCTTTAGAAGCACAACCAAAGGGTGCAAGCACATGGCAGCTTAGGTAGAACAAAGGCCTAATTCCCAGTATGCAGCACCAGCCATGATTAGAGTTTTGAGCCTTTTTTTCCTGTCTAAACTTGCACTGGAGTGCACCTCAACCTTTCAAACCCAACCTCTTATCTCATGCATCTTTTTTAATGTGGTCATGCTTGAAGATTTAGAGCATGTGCTTGCCTCCTCAACAGTAACTCTGTTTGAACTCATTTTTTGTTTGTTTCCGAGTTAGGACTGGGAAGACTAAAGGCTTGAAAGGTGGCTAAGAAATGCACCCAATACATACAAACATATTAAAATTTGAGTATAAAGCAACACACATAAAGAAAATATGCTTCCAAAAATTAAACTTCCTCTATTTCCGATCTGATGGCATTTTAAGGTGATTATGGAACTCAGACATGCCAAGTTTCAGTTTGAGTTAGAAACTCATGATTTCCTTTCCTCCTTCCTCCTTCCTCCTTCCTTCTTTCCTTCCTTCATTTCATTTCATTTCATTTCCTTTCATTTCATTTCAATACTACCCAAATTGCTTTGGGAAGCTCGGATTAACAGCACCTAAAATACAATATACAATTCATCTGGTGATAAAAACATCATAAAAAGTTTACCATGCAACATTTCATTTTTTTCCTCCTGCTCAAGCAAGGCATCTGCTGATTCACTAGAGTTGCTCTAGAGTAGCCCTCCCCTGTGCTGCCATGTTAGGTGCCAATGTATAGGCACACCCATCCATACCCTCACCTCCTCTGCTCCCCTCCTGTGTGCACAACTCAGGAACAGTGGGAGGGGCCGCCTGCCTCCTCCAGGCTGTGCCCTCCCCCACCCCCTCCCGCACCAGGGCTGCAGCCAGCCTTGCCTGGTCTCCCCCCCCCCGAGAGTCCCTTCCTTCACCTTCCTTGCAGCATCATGTGTGGAGGCAGCTCACCCCCCCCCCCATGCCAGGTGAGCTGTCAGTGGCCTCATCTGGCACTGCCCCTCAGCCCAGCCCTCCCCACAAGAATCACACCACTGTTGCAAAGCGTGACTGTTTCTGCAGCATCATGGGGACTTGGGGACTGTGCCAGAAAGAAAAGCCTGCCAGGTGTTAATAAATCATGGGGTCTCTTTGGCTAGTACATGAGGTGTGCCCTGCAGCTGTGCTCGCATACTTCCCCCACCTCCACAGCGCTGCATCCTATGCTAGCAGGATGCAGCCGCTGGGTGCAGATGCCCTTTTTCCCATCTCTGCTATGGCTGGTGCAGGCCACTCCCTAACTGCACAGATGTGTGTCTGTGTATCTATATGCATTGCTAACTTGCCAGGATGCATTAGGAGCTGCAAGAGCTGCTTGCAGGGGTATGGGAAGGGGAAGCATCTGTGACATGGCCCCATTCACCACCCCACATCCCTTTGTGGGGCAGGCAGGAAGAAACCCTCTCTGGACCCAGAAGGGCTTAGTAATTTTAGGCCAGTGGCAAATATCCCCTACCTGGGCAAGGTCCTTGAGCAGGTGGTGACCAACCAGCTCCAGACACTCTGGCCATTTGGATCCATTTCAGTCAGGTTCAGGCTGGGTTTGGGTGTAACAGGCTGAATTCCCTCCATCCATTTAGAAGAGCTTCCAACTAAGAGCATCTCAGCCTTGTCTGGACTGAGCATCAGTTTGTGAGCCCTGATCCAATCCATTGTCACAGTGTCACTTGAGAGGCAAGACTGTTGGGTTGCAGGGTGGCTGGTACACCAGCAGAATCCTGTTTGTCCTGCTGGTCCAGCACAATATAGGCGTCAGGTGGAGGGGGAGCTTGGAGCGAGAGAGACTTTCAGTACATCACAGTAACCCCGCTCATCAGCCCTCCAAACTTCCTTCATGCTGTACCAAGGGCCCCGGTGGGCAGAGCTGGGAGAGGTGAACTCCCCACTATTCCCAGTGGTACATGCCAGATCGGCCACCTCATCTCCTTGGAAATCATGTGTGAGAGAGGCCTTATTGTGTACCTGTCCGGTGTTTAGAAGGAACCTCTGGAGACCTGAGGGCAGGCTGACAGGGCAACTGCCAAACCTGCTGTTGCAAGGAGGGTTGGAACATGGCACAGCCATTAGCTGCCTGGCTCACATTCCCCTTGCCTGGCTAGCCCTTCACCAATTGCTTTATCTCCCTCTATCCCTCACTGCATGAACTGACACCCCATCAGGGCCTCCCACATGCTTCCTCCCTGCTCCACTGTGCATACCCAGGGCTTGTGAAGAGGGGGCACTCCCTGCCCATGTCACAAGATGCACAGTAGCAGAAATGTTACAAAAGAGGCCCTTGCCCTTTCATTCCCCCCAGGTGCCCCCCTTTTGGCATAATCTCATTCAGGGGCATCACCACCCCACTTTGGGCCAACAGATACAGGCCTCCTGGGCCTCCACACCAGGTAGGAGTTGTTTGTAATCTTCAGGCAGGCAGCAGGCAGGCAGGAGATTTTGCCATCAACTCAAAGACAGTACAAGACCAAGAGACAGTTTGCATGTTGAAACAGCCTGCAGTCAATAAACCATGATTTGCTGAGCAGATGAGCAGCACGTATGCTGGCTTCCAGGCACTTTTAAACGACCCATGAATGCTTCATCTCTGAATAATATGAAGTCCTAACTGAGAACTCTGTGTTATCGAAGGACTAATAACACAGTTTGAACACAGGGTTAAACCAGCCATAGGTTTAACAACATACAGTTAACAGACAGACATGTAAACCAGGTCTGGAAATCAGTTTAGGGTGGGACATAGAATCTGAAGACGTGTCCCTAGACCTCTGGAAGGGGCAGCTACTGACAAAGCTCTTGAGTAAAGCTTCTGCAAGCCAGAGCAGCCCCTTAAAGCTGATTCTGGCGGCTTCCAGGATGTCAGCACCATTCTGGGATGCTGATGTCTGTGTGGGAGGCGCAGAGGCAATTTTCACTTGTCTTCCTTCATTTCATCCTTTATATGGGCCCAGATGCTGCAGGGCACAGTGCATCCTGGCCCCTCCCCTCCACACAGATCATCCCCCTCCCCCCAGTCTTATTTGCAATTCCAAATCTCCTTCCCAAACTCCTAGCATGCCCTATACTCTCAGACAGGGAGCTCTGAAAAGCTTTATGGATGCTGCCCAAGGGGCCATAGGATTACTCTGAAGGTGTATGTTTATTATTATAATTGGACTGGGAGTCTGGAAAGTTAAAAAAAATCACTTGGAGGTACAGGACAAAAGTCAGCCACAAATATCCAAGCCATTTCCAGGTGACACATTTCACCTGGATGCCAAAAACAATCATCAAGCAAAATGGCAAAATGCTGAGGGCTTCTTTCAAGAAGGACAAAACATGTTTGATAGATTGATTTCTTACTATATAAACCTTTATTCTATGAAATGAATGTATCTAGAAAATGTTTATTAAGTAACAAAGCAAGGTTTGTCTGGGAGGAGGCAATGTTGTACCCACTCCCCTTCTAGTTAACATATTTTCTTACTGGCAGCTGGAATTGCTTGAGAGAGTATTGGAAATCAGTGGTGAGGGATAGGTGAGCTGTAAGCCAAAAACGTCTGAATGGCCATGAGCTGCCCACTTCTGCTCTAGTGACTGGAATGTTTACATTTCTGATTTAAAGTCTGCATTTCAGCTAGCTGAGGATCTTTTATTAAAGCTCAACATATTTTGCCAGTTAAATCTCAGCAGTCAAAAGCACCGCTGAATTCAGTGGACTTTGTACCCAGATAACTATGCATAAAGTTCTGCGGTCACATTGGTCCTAGCAAATTGAGCAGTTACGCTACGTGCTCCTGTTCCTGGTTGGGCACACACACACCCAGAATCATGAGTACCTCCTGCACTTCCGAATTTACCACTCGCCACTGGAGGTCTCTCTCCACTACATTCTTTTTCTAAAGACCCAACCCCTTTCTTTACTAAGCCTGCCCGCCCACAGCCCCACCTCAGCTTCTCTGACCTTCTGTCTCCAGTCATCCGGTGTTTGCTTCCTAAGCTCGTGTGCCTTCTCCCCTTTTCTGGCTCTTCTCTGATGCTCGGGATGGAGAGAACATTGTGCTTGACCAGCTTCTGTGGTCCATCAGTGACAGCTGGAGGCCTCACTCCCCCCACAACATCCCTTGCTACATTACAGTAAAGACTGTTCTGGATAGAAGAATGTTGCATTTTTCCTTGCATGAGAAAAGAAACTCCTAGAGGGAGGAAAAAAGCCAGGTTCCAACCTGTGCAAAATAGAAGTGTCACGTTTTAATTCCTTTTAGTCAGCAGAACTCCTCTCCACAATAGTCTAAAAAACACCACCAGTCCCAAAAGGCTTCCAAGCAAAGCAGCTGCAGTTTACAAATACAGACGCTTGAAAGTATCCATCAGGCATAATTCCCCATTTTACGTGTAGATATGATCAATTTCATTAGTCACCACTAATTTCATCAGTAGTTCTGTGCTTCTTGATGTGTCCTGGGTAAAACAAGAAGGAAAACAAAAGTACAGTAAACCCCACTGAGCATTCTTCTGTAGTACGTAATAGTTTTTTTTTAACAGTGAAACCCTATACAGGTCTATTCAGAAGAAGCAAGACTTATTGGGTTCAGTGCCACACTCACAGGTAGGCAGAGCAGGCTTGCTACCTAAGTGGGCTTTAACCATGCACTGAATTACTGCCAGTGGCATCACAGTGCTGCCCAATGAAAGCTGGTTTTCAGTTCATCTAAGTCATGGGTCGTCAAGCTAATGCCTGCCATGCTCCTTTATCCAGCCGGGCTCAGAGCTTTTGGACTTGCTTGGAGAAAACGATCTCTGAGTGAGTCCAAAAGCTCTGAGTTGGCGCAGGCGTACTCAGTGGGGAGATGGCCATGATCACAGGCGCACTCATGCAGGGAAGACAGGCATGATCGCGGTTGTGCTGGTGGGGGGGGATGGCCACAATCGTGCTGGGTGGGGAGATGGCCATGATCTCGCCCGCCTTCCCTGCACGATCGTGCAGGGGTGGGAGAGATGGCCGTGATCACGCCCACCTTCCCTGCATGAGCGTGCCCACGATCATGCCCATCTTCCCTGCATGAACGTGATCACGTCCATCTCCCGCTCAGCACTATCGCACCTGTCTCCCCCGCCCCCCCAGCACGATCGCGGACATTGTAGCTATGTTCCTTGAATATGGACATGCTCTTCCCCGCCTCATCTTGGGCTTCTGCTGCAGCTCAAGCGAGTGGAGCAAACATTTGTAAATTTTTAATAATTTTTTAAAATTTTAATAAATCTTTAAATTTATTTTAATTTTTAATGTGCAGGGTGCATAGGAATTCGTTCATTTTTTTTTCAAAGTATAGTTCAGCCCCACAACAGTCTGAGGGACAGTGAACTGGCCCCCTGTTTAGAAATTTTGAGGACCCCTGATCTAAGTGTTTGGGAAAATTTTGTGCAAGCAACAGAAAAACCCATGTGGAGTTCAAGTCAAGGAACTTAGGATGGTGGGGAGGGCGTTGTTCTTGTGCACATGCATCCGAGGTCCCACAAGCCTAGCCCACACAGGAACCAACCACGTACGGAGACAGACTCAGCATTCAGATACTTGGGCAATCATTGCTATTAAACAAATGGTGGCAACACACAACCTGTAGGCCACATGTGGCCCCTACCGCCATACCCCACATGCAGCCCCTCACTTTTCCGTAATGCCCCTGTTTTACTGTTTTGTTTGTTTGTTTTGGAAAACTTCACAGTTTATCCACAAAAGTCAGTAGCAAACTGCTACAGAAGCAAACTGCTACAGGGGCTTAGAACAGACAAGCGAAGTTTGAAAATTAGCTCCTGTAAGCATGGATAGTGGCTACAGAGGCTCTGAATGTGTTCCTCCCTTTAGTGCAGTGGGCAGGAGTACAGCTCATGACAGATCTGAGGGGAGGAATGTGGCCCCCAGCCCACCCAAAGTTGTCTACCCCAGCATTAAACCATGGTAAACTCAACTGGCAAAGCATGGCAAATGCCACAGAGCACAACTTTGGAAGAGTTAAGCTACAGTGTCTGCAAGAACTTCAGGATTCAACATGCCAGAAAAGTCTGAACTGAATTTTGCATTTCAGGCTGGATTAGCACAGCCTCTTCCTACAGCTTTAGAACAATGGTGCAAGTCAGTAAAACAAACGGTGAATGCATACAGAATAACATGCATGTATATAGTTTAAGGGCACATTCCTATGCAAATTTAGAAAGAAAAAAGTTGTCCAGTTTCTTGTAGGACATTTTCCTGCCTAAGCGTGCATAGGATTACATTCAAAGAGAGTTTTCGTAAGTATGTCTCACATTTTAATCACTGAGAGCAGCTCTGAGTTCATTGTTCCTTAGGTTCAATCATGAAAGGAAGCTGCCAAATTACAGTCCAATATTTGGAAGGAAATCAAGTAAATGTTCCAATGATGGTTTAATTGGTTGTGGATTGCTGGGGCCAGCATCTGATAAGGTCAGGCAGGTGTTGAGCAATCATGGAAATATGAAGGGCTTCTCAGTCTGAGCTCTCTTCCTAATGGCCAGGAGCAGGGAGGGTGGATGCAACTTACATGCTCTGGCTGCAAGGCTTCAGCTTGACCCTTTAACTATTATGTAGCAGTTGTAACTATTATGAAATGCCTTCTATAAATGTACAAACACCAACTTTCCTTCCCAGAAAATGTGACAGTGATCAGTCAGAAGCCTCAGGCAAGCTGAAATAAGAGTCAACAATTAAGCCCTACCTTAACCAAACCCTTCAGGACTTTCGAAGATAGCACAGGCTTGAAGGCATCAATTGATATTAAATCCAGTTTGAGGACATCAGTATAATTCTGATACAACACTGCAGGGATCTGCCACACTTGGCAGTAACTAAGAACTAGGCATAATCCGGGATGGTGAAGAGAGGGAGAGGGAAAGGGGGAAAAAAGTCAGGAATCTGCAACATGTTCAATGGATCAGACTGAAAAGCACATCTTAAAACATGTTGTTATTTCTGGGAGAACTCTGTATATGAAGAATGCCACCACATTGGGTGGAGCTTCCCAAACCCACCTCGGGCTCAAGGCACAGTTGCAAAACCTGTTTTGAGAAGGTGGTACTCTCCACAGGCTGCAGGATAGAGATCAGTCACCCAGATAGCTCACCAGGGCAAATATGCCTACATCCCTGGTATAAAGCTGCCGGGAACTCAAATGACTGTTGGCACACCCATCTTTATGCACTGCTCCTGCAGCCTTATGAGTGGGTACCTTGTGCGAGCGAATGCAGTGGCTACCCTTTCCATTTGCCATAGGAGACTGACTCATTTTCCTCCAGCTGCGAATATCTTGAGCAGCGAGAAGTTGTGCCAGCTAGTTCCTGCTTGTTGATTTTTAAATCACATATGACGCACACAGCGTATGTGCTCCTATTCTGCAAAGGAACTGCTGCCTCCCACCATATTCCCACAAAGGGGCACCTTCCACCCCACAAGGCACCTTCTGTTGCTCCCCTGCCACAGCTCAGCCCTGTCACTCTCCCCACGTGTCCTCCCAAAATGGCTTTGGTTACCAGGCAGGGGGAGGCTAAGAGGTAAAGAGAGAGAAATTACCTGCTGCGGGGAGATCCCGTGCAATATTTGGCTGTTCTAGTAATGAACAAAAGACTTTATCTTTGAATGCTGTTGTCTTTAACGCTTTCAGAAAAGGAGAAGGGAGTGTTAATGTTGATTCAGTTGTTTTATAATCGGTGATGGGGCATGATGAAAGAACAAATACTTGCAGATCAGTCTTCTGTATGCATCCAAAAACCTGGGTGAAAATACAGGTCCTAATGTTAAGTGGGCCAAATTCCCAATGCAGGACTGTGCTGATTTGATTCATATTTACTAGAAAATTTAATTTATTAGATTTATATCCCACTTTTTTCTTACAAAGTGGGTCACACCGCTCTTAATCTGCTCCCCACAACAACCCTGTGAGTTTGGGCTGAGAGTCTGTTACTGGCCCAAAGTCACCTGTTGGCTCCATGGCCAAGTGGGGGTTAGAACCCAGGTCACCTGAGTCCCAGCCTCCTTCATGAAATGGCTGTAATGGAGGAAGCAGCCACAAGGATTTGGTGCACGTCCCACTGCTGGTGACTCAATGCTTCAGCTACATCCAATATCCACTAACCTGGAAGTGAGCCTCAGTGGGGCCTACTTCTAAGCAAACATACACAGGATCACCCTTGCTAGTGTGTCGCCAGAGCAAAAGTACTGGGACAACTTTAGCAAAGCTACATCTGCACAAGCATTCTTTGGGGACTGAGTTTACTGCTGCAGTGTATCCCTGATAATTTGTGTTTCAATAGGTCCCTCAGCAGATTCCCTGCTGGGAAAAATACCAGGATGGCAGTCAGCACAATCTACAGGGTAATGTCAGTTTAAAGTGGTCTTTACAGGTCCATTTCTGAGAAGCTGATACCCATGAGGAAAATCCCCCTCCGCATGAAGCAGGCCATCAGCTTCTGTAAGCAAAGCCTATCCCATTCAAAGGAAGAGGCAAAGGAACTGTGTTGCAACAGATGGAGCACAAGACAGATGATTGTGGGGGGCAGATGCAGCCCAATCGTAATTTGAATGATAATTCCAACCATTTTCCTTTCGGGATGGGGCGCACCACCTTTTTGACCCTTAGAACCATCTCTGGTGTGTAACGTGTGGAAGCCACACAAGTGCCTGTACACACCACACACACACGCTTGCCTCACCAACATATACTCTGCCATTCTTCACATACACATACAAACCAACACAGTGCAATGAGGGAGGGAAGGTTTAAACCTCCATCCCTCGCCCTTTGAGATCTATGAACTGCTATTTCTCCATCAAGTCAAAGGAGTGTCTTTCCCTCATAGTTCAGGTAATCAGCTGAGAAAGTGAGCAAGGTCCCCATGGTGGGTTCTGCATCCCTGTTTTGGATAATGGCTGGGGCCTTCGGGCTTGAAGGAGCACACATCACATAGGAATTCTACCCAAAAGTGAATTGTGCATGAAGCCAGCATTTGTTTTACAACGTGTAGTGGTTAAGAGCATGGGACTGGGACTCAGACGATCTGGGTTCTAGTCCCTGCTCAGCCATGGAGCCAACTGGGTGACTTTGGGCCAGTCACAGACTCTCAGCCCAACCTACCTCACAGGGTGGTTGTTGTGGGGATAAGATGGAGGAGGAGAATGATGTAAGCTGCCTTGAGCCTTTGTGGGGAAAAGGAAGGATATAAATTGAAAAATATAAATAAATAAATAAATAAATAAATACACTCCTGTTCAGAAGTAAGTTCCACTGAGATCAAAAGGACATTCCCAGGTAAGTATGTGTAAGATTAAGACCTTAGGTTTTTTTTACCTGTCTTCTCTCTGGTAGGGACTCACCAATACATGGGGAGGGGGGATATATTCATTCATCCCTATGCTCTGTGTTCCCCGTCTTTTTACCTTTTCAACCCACTGAAACTGCTGGTCCTCAGCCACATAACAGTTGCACTGGCACAACAACACCTGAAAAGATAAAATGACAATAAAAGCTTGATGAATTTCAGCACTGGTACATTGATGTGAAACACCAAAATTACCTCGGTTATCTAAGACTACAATCCTGTGGATACTTTCCTGGGAGTAACCACCACTGAACACAGTAGAACTTACTTCCAGAGGAACATGCATAGCACCAGCTTTCGACTGACCTTCCCACTGACACATTTTCAGACAATCACTACTGCATGGTTCTTCTTCCCTGACAAGTCATACAAATGGGAGAGGTCCTGATCCAGTGGTAGAGCACATGCTCTTGATCCTCCTGCAGCTAGGTGTGCACTAGATGGGAAAGTGGGAGGGAACTTTCTCAATCCGGGACTCTGGGACTGTCTGCTGCAAGGACATGGTTGGCTCCCTCTGTGTTGTCCTTCCACCAGCAGGCACACACATTTTTCTTTAGTCCAAACATTGGCATGTAAGCCAGTCTGTTGCTGAAGTGGGTGTTAACTAGTTAGGTGCTGCCTATTTCTTCTCTGTTTTCCAATCGTGTTTTTATGGATCTGCTGGTATATTGTGCCTTAATGAAGATTACATTTAACTTATATTTTATTAGTTTATTTGGTTGCTCTACTGCCCAACAGCTGAAGTCCTCTGGGTAGTTCACAAGACTTATTATAGTCAGCTGCCTTGGGTGACATCTTGGGCAGAAAGATGGGATATAAGTTCAATAAAGTATTGTGGTCTTAGGGTGCACCCCATGTTCAAATGAAGATTGCTCTCTCAGAAAGTGCCACACCACTGCTGAAAGGATCCTCCTCCTCGCCTAAGGAGCTAGAACTCCCTCAGACAAATGAAGCAAGGGGCCACCTCTTGTCAAGAGACATGGGAATCGGGGACCTCAGGGGAGAAAACTGCAGATCTGCCCCTGTCAGGAGTCAGGCCTTCTGCTTCGCAGGCAGAGCATCTGTCTAGTTGAAGAGAATGTGCTGCACTAAGGGACAAAGCAGCAGGTTTCCTTCAAGATAAGGTTCCTTACTCCAAGGAAGACCTCCTCAGGATAAGCAGTGTTAATACTGAGAAGATAATGTTGGGAATCTAAGCCTCCATTTTCTGTTTGGACTTTCCTGAAAACAAGGGTGGTCCTCAGCAACAGCTTTTTGTACCCTGACCCTTAACTCATGTTTGGAGCATGGCATTACTGACCTTGGACTTCTGCCTAATGCTGTCTCTGCATTCTGATTCTAGTCGTCTGCTGTCCTGTACACTTGGCCTTGGTTCTGTTGCTAATTTTTGCTTGCCAGTAAAAGCTCTGCTTGCTTTTGGCCTGGTTAATTGACTCCTCGGTTGCAATTAATGCAGTGTGTGTTTGCATAACAAGGAGCTGTACAGGACAAAATATCCTTCCTTCCTTACACAGCATCCAAAAACCAGTGTCTAAAGCTACATGTATAGCAGCATTCCACAGCCTGATGCTCTCTGGCTATTTGGGCTGGCAGTCCCCAGCATTCCTGACCATTGGCCAAGCTGGCCAAGACTGGAGGGAGCTGAAGTCTGAAACACCTGAATAGTGCCACATTCTGGAAGGCTGCATCTGGTGTAGAAGGGCCCAGAATCACATGAAGAAAAGCACAGTGTGGTATTCTAACTCTTAAATATGCAAGCAGGAATTTAGATGCATATAATGGATAGAAATGTTGGTGCAAAGCCGAACAGCTTAGCTTTTAAATGCAAAGATAGTAGCAATTTAGTTAAGTTAAATGTGATCTCATAAACTCTGCTTGAAAACAACCACAGCAACCAGGCACTTAAAATAATATTACTTACCGTGGGATCTGAAGTCAACCGATAAAACAAGCAGAATGGCTCTGTGGGCAGAACTGGCTCGCTGGTTCTGTTCGATATTCTGCACCACTCGTTCCACAATTTGGCAGATCCAACTATTTCCCAGCATCCGGAACTCAGAACAAAGGAAGATAAGAATGCTGCAAACAAAAGCAATATGTTTATTTATTTAATTTATTTACCACCTCAAAGACAAGAGCAACTTCTAAATCAGCGCTAGCCAGAATTTTCCCTGGAAGCAAAAATGACAAAACTGAAGCTGTTGAACTTGGGCACATCATGAGAAGGAAAACGCACTGGGGAAGACCATCATGCTAGGGAAAGTCAAAGGCAGAAGAAGAAGGGGAAGAGCAACTATGAGATGGTCTTACTCTATAAAGCCACTGCCTTGAGTTTACAAAAACTGTGCAAGCAGTGAAGGATGTTCATCCCTTAATTCATTCACAGGGTCCCCATAAATTGGTGACACATAAGGGCAGCATTCGAACATTCCACAGAGTACTATATGGTCATCTAGTGATACACCTGTGTCTAAGCTGCCCAGGGGAGGGGCCTGCATGCTCCACATGGAGAAGGTCCCGGATCTCACCCCTGGCATCTCCGGAAAGAGATGGAGAGACTCCTGCTGGAAATCTCAGAGAGCCGCCGCTAATCTGTGTCGACCACACTGAACTAGATGCACCAAGAGCCTGACTCAGACTAAGGCAGCTTCCAGGATTCCAACACACTGAAGGTGATGGAAGCCAGTCTGCAAACCTTGAACAGCTGCATCAGCACAAAGCAAAGAATACACCCAACTGAGCTGCACTGCTTACCGACTGCATTTTGCCCTATACCCAAAATGAACTTGGAGCAAGGAAACTGTTCTTCTGTGGACTCATTAGACGTCTTCTTCCAGATGATGTGAACTTCCCTGGGTATAAGAAACAGAACAAAATTAAATGAGCTCTGAGTGAGAAGACGGATAAGTATTTGCCCCTGAAATCATACAAGTGATACTTACCATTTTATGATTTATAGATGCATTATTAGATTTATATCCCACCTTTCTTCTTTTTTGAAGAATTCAAAGCAACTTACATCATTATTCTCCTCTTGCTTTTCAATCTTATCCCCACAACAACCCTGTGAGGTAGGTTGGGCTGAGAGTCTGACTGGCCCAAGGTCACCCAGTTGACTGAGTGGGGACTAGAACCCAGTTTGCCTGTGTCCCAGACCCATTACACTATACTGGCACACTGCACAAGACAGGCTGAATACAAAAGCAGTCTCTGACACCCAGAATACCACCTCTGATGAAGTAGCTTAATTCACCATCTGTTCCCACACAGAACAACTTCTACACCAATAATCTGGACATGGATTCCTGATCCATTTTCCTAAGGAAGTAACGTGGGAAAAGTTCTGTAGTGCGTGTATGTCCATGTGCAGGCCTGCTATACAATGCAGCCACTATAGTGCAGCTGGAATTAGCAGACAGCAGATGACAGAAAGCTTTATAAGGTACTTTTCTCGTGTTGTTTTTCTGCTAATAAAACCCAATTCCTAAAGCTGTTTTTAGTCCTGTTGGGGAAAGTCAAAATAGACATATCTATATAGGTGTTCCCTTTGTTCCCTTTGTTTGTATGAGTGTACCCCACGTCTCCCCCAAAACCAGCACTGGCAACAGTGCTGCTCTTCACAACTGTTTTCAATCACTCCTAAAAACTCCCCCACACAAATGAGCAAATGAACATCCCTAGAAGAAGGAAGGCAGCACATGGAGGTCTGTTTCACAATTTAGAACTATAAGAACTACCATAAGAACAGAAGAAAAGCCATGCTGGATCAGAGCAGAGGTCCATCTAGTCCAGCACTCTGTACACAGTGGCAAACCAGCTGCCCGCAGGATCTCTCAGCAGGACAGATGCAAGACCTCCTCCTGCCCAAGCTTCTCAGCAACCGGCGTATCCAGGCAGGCCACCTCTGGTGAAGGAGGGAGCACACAGCCAGCAAGGCTAGGAGCCATTGATGGCCTCATCTATTTGCCAAATCTCTTTTTAAAACCAGCCAGTTCAGTGGCCATCATCACTTTCTGTGGCAGCAAGTTCCACAGTTTAGCCTTATGCTGTGTGAAGAAGTGCTTTTCCATCTGTCCTAAACCTCCTACATTCAGCTTCATGGGATGACCCCAGGTTTGTGTGTTATGGGAAGAACAGGAAAAGGACTCCTTCTCTTTCTCCACACTGTGCATTATTTTAAACACCTCTATCTTGTGTCCCCTCAGTCACCTTTCTTCAAAGCTGAACAGTCCCAGTTGTAGCCACTCCTCCTGGGGAGCTGCTCCAGGCCCCTGATCATTTTTGTTGCTCTTCTCTGTACCTTTTCCAACTCAGTAATGTCCTTTCTCAGGTAAGGCAATCAGAACTGAACCCAATATTCCAAGTGCAGGCTTACCAAAGATTTGTATAAGGGAAGTAAGATCATATAATGGAATACAGTATGTCCAACACGACCAGTGTTCCAGTTAGAGACCACCCAAAGGAAAGTGGCACAGAGTTCCCTGCTCTCTAAAGAGGCACCAACATCACACTTTTATCAGGAAGCCTTCCCAAACTAACTAGCCACCATGCTATTGATTCAGTTTTACTGATTTTGCTTTTAACATATTATTTTATTATTTTATCTGGTTATCTTTTCTCATACACAGCTCCAAAATTTCCATACTGGAATACTGAGCAGGATATAAATGTTGTAAATCTATGTCTTTGCTATATTTATGAGTTTATTTTATTTATTTATTTGGCAGGCTTATATGCCGCCCCATTCGCCTAAGCCTCGAGGCGGCTTACAAATAAATAAGTATCACTAGTACAATAAAATACAGTTGGAGACATCCTGGCCAAAGTTGTTAAAATCAATAAATAAAATCAACAATTAAAATGACATTTAAATAAAAAGGTCTTGGCCTGGCGCCGAAAAGCAAATAACGACGGCGCCAGGCGGACCTCTCTGGGGAGCGCATTCCGTAGGTTGGGTGCCAGCGGGGAGAAAGCCCTCCTCCGGGTGCTCACCCTCCTGATGTCCTTCACGGAGGGCTCCCGGAGAAGGGCCTCTGCCACCGATCTATGATTTTGTTGGGCCTATTTACTGATGATTTGTATAGTCTTATTGCGAGTTGCTTTGGACATACTTTGAAAAAGCGGCATACAAACAAACGTGATCGATGATGATGAAGTACATGCCTTGCTGAAATTAAGCAAGGCTGGATCTGTCCAGGGTCTGGCCAGGAAACTGAGTGAGAACCCACGAATGCTGCCGCAAATTCCACAACCCGGGAAAAGGGAGGCTATAAATATGAAAGTTTGTAAATATATGATACTTCACACACACACACACACGAAATAAGAAATATATGCACGTGTGCGCGCGCACGCCTGTGTATGAACGAAATAAAGGTCTAAGAGCACTGGCAACTATTCCGTACTAAGATGGAGCGCGCACTTCCGCTGGGTTTGGATCCCGTTAGAAGCGCACTATTACTCCAGAGTCCGTCCAGGCAGCAGACGAGGAGCTGCTATTTAGCTGTTGTGTTAGCTCTCTAAACGTGCTCAGAGGCGCCGCCATGCTTAATTTAAGAGTTCCAAGGAGAGGACTGAAGCCGAAGGAAACGGGGCTGAGCATCGGTTCAGGCTGAGTCTCAGCCAGCTTTCCTTCTCCAAGCTGGTCAGACCTCAACGCCCAACATCCATCCCCATCCGGCCATGTTGGGGCATGTTGGGAATTGCAGTTCAGTAGGACGAATCTCGGAGACGCCAGCTCGGAAGAAGGCTGCCCGGTCCTCCCCCCCCCCCCCCCCCCCGCTACCTTTTCTCTTCGATCGCCCGGCGAATCTCGCGATCCTCCGAGGTCTCCTCGCGTTCCGCGGCCGCCTCCTCGTCCTCGTCCACCCCCGCGCGGGACGGGGCAGTCACCACCTCCCCGAAGAACGTGGCCATCTCCCGCCGAGCCTAGGATCGTCGCCGGCCGCCCGCCCGCCCACCGGCCGCGCAGATGGCTGCTGCAGCAGCACGCCTGCCCTTCCGGGTTACAGCGAGCCGCCCGCTCGCCCCCGCAGCGTTGGCTCGCTGAGCAAGCGGCCTCTCTGAGCGTGCTCAGTGGAAGCTGCTCGGCACGGCGCCCTTCGCTGTTGTGCTCAGTTGGGGGAGTGAGCTGTTGAGGGTGTCCCCCACCCCGGTGCCCGCTAGAGCCCAAGAACTACAACTCCCGGCATTCCTCAGTCAGCGTTGCTGGAGGATGCCATTCCATCCTGAGGAAGGAACGTGGCTGATTTGGACATGCGTCCTTCTAAAGCTGCGTTCCTGTGGGTCTGGACTAAGACGCGCTGGGATTCTGCTGGTTTTATCGGGAGCGGTCTCAGGAGTGTACAGGCAGAGGGATGGCTGGGGTCGCCCATGTCAATGCGCACCCAGATCCATTGCATTTGATATTCTGAGCTTTACAGGAGGTATTCGTGCTGCTGGACTCTAGCCCCAAAAGGGTACAGCACCACGGATAGCTCCTATAAAGCTCAGAATATCAGTTACAATGGATAAGGAGTCCCAATGACACAGGCGTCACTAACCTTCCCTGTGCCGATGCCAATAGATCTGGCAGATCTGGGGCAGGGGAATATAGTTTTCCCTCAAAAGTTGAAATAGGTGCATTTCAGTAGCTTAGGATTATACAATGTGAATTTCTGGTTACTTTTTCTTTACAGTAATAACTAGTTTTCCCTATTTGTATTCTGTCTCTGGCCGCATGGTGTTAATTTCAGTGCTGTATACATTCTGCTCAATAGATTTCCACTCTATTGTTCATATTGATTTTATATATTCATTAACAAGTTACCACGAGTTCCCTTTCCAGACTTGTCTGCACAATTCCCTATTCTGCCAGATCCTCTGAACTCATTTGTGTATTATCGTGACAGCATCTACTAGTAGGCATATCTCTGGAGCAGGGTGGAAAACCTGTTGCTGTCCAGATTTTCTTGGACTCCAGGCTCAGGCAGCACGGTCAACAGTCAGGAGTGACGGGAGTTGTCGTTCAGCAACATCCAGAAGGCCGCAGTTTCCCCAGCCCTGCTCTAGGTGAAGATCAGCCTGTATGCTTGTCTTGCTCCTAGTTCAGTGTCAAACACCCAAAAAATACCCAGAAAGTTACCAGCCCCACCTCCCCCAAGTACAATAAAGGGGAACCCAGGACAAGGGCGGCATGTTCCATCCATGAGTCAAAGCAGGCAAATGACCAGTGCGACTCAATTCAAGGCTTGTGTCCTGCTCACTTCCAAACTCCTTGCATGTACTAAATGATAGGAAGTGGTCCTGTCCTTTCCAAGATATTATTGAGCGATCCAGCACTGGTTTGATTTACTCCCATGGAACAAGCTCCAAGAAAGATTCTATGGGAAATTCTGAGAAACATTTAACATATAGCAGCTAAACAGCAGTCCTAGGACAAGACTATTAAAATTGCTTTTTAGAAACCTACGTTCAGTTTACATTTAATTTTCCTTTGTTCCTTCAGCCCCCTTTTAAGTTGGGATATTTTCAAGCTTTCCTCCACAAATGCTTTCCTTAAAGAAATTAAGGAAAATCCTTATGACTGAACAAGCCAAGAAAATTTGTATTTTTTCTTTCCTGTCTGAGAGATTTTGAACAGTTATATGGACCCACATTGTTATTCTAAAATCTAATTATTAAGTGGTGCCCCACATTTGTAGGTTAAACTCTAGTATAATGTGTGAATGGTTTTCCAGTGGTCTTATTTTTCCAATTTTATTTTTTAAATTTACATGCTGCCCAAACAGCAGATGCCTTATGGGCAATTTGCAATCATAACCCCCCAAACTATCTAACAACAACTGAAACAATACAGCAATGAAAGAAAATTACTAAAGAATATTCACACAGGGAAATTTACAGATGTTGCTGTGGGATGTTTCAGATTCTGAGATCTGATGTCAGAAAAGAGCTCCATACATGGAACTGGAGATCTGCACTTGGGCTGCACACAATCCTGCCCCCCCCCCCCCCCCCCCCGCCCCCCCCCAACCCCCCCCCCCCCCCCCCCACTGCCAACGCACAGAGAACTGCAGCTGCTGCAGCTTGCATTAGCAGGTCGAAGCACAGTTCAGGCTGGTCACTGCCTCACCTGCATTTGATGAAAAGAAGAAATACAGTTGTCGTCGGCGTATTGATGGCACTTAATTCTTCTTCCCGTGGTTTTATGTATTAATAACATTGTCAACAACAATACAATGAACAAATGGTGTCATGATGATGATACGCATAATGCAAGGGAAGGCCAAATAGTGAGCACACGTTCTGATCAATGTCCCCCTCCAACACACACACACACACACACACACACACACACACACACACACACACACAAAGCATGGGGGTTTGGTGCAATGCAGTTGTGTCTGTCTACTGATGGAACGACATTGTCCAGCAGTGCAGTTTTCTCCTCCCGCCTGCAGCCCCATAAAGTCTGCAGATCTGCTCTGGAGAGTTGCAGAGTCCTCATGGAACAGAATTTGGAGATATACAGTGAGCAGAGATTGGGCAGAAAAGCTGCAGAAACTGAAGTTGCTTGTACAATATTGATGGTAGCCCCTTATTTGCAAGAAACATGAACAGTTCTAACTCAAGTCCAAGTCTTTCAAGTGACCATGGATCAGAGTGACCATCCCCTCTGTCCTGTTAACTGCGGATTAACAGCTCTTTCAAGAAAGGCAAGTCAGATTTGCATCACAGACTGAAGTGTAAAATGGGAAACCCTAAATACATAGAGATGGGGAGAGCAATCCTGTGATCTCCTTGCAGCTCCATGAGGAAATTGTGCCTCTCTGGGACTGAAAAATCACACTTGGGATGGGGGAAAGAGGGGTGCTAGAGGAGGAAGGAGACAAGATGGGAGAGGCCAGGATTCAATTTACTCAGAGTTTCTTCAGCCTCCTTCCTGCTCCCTCCAAAGTACTTTTGCTAAATGGGCTGAAAAACCCTTTAATAAAAATAATGAAATCAGAGAACCAGATGGTAAAGCTCATCACCTCCACTCCTCCTGGCCTGCATTGGAGGATTGGATGCCTCTAAGTTTGCAGTGTATCTGTTTTGAAACTGTCTTGACTCATATGCAAGAAATGAGTAGCAAAATACAAAACTGTGTACAATAATGCTCTAGCCAGAAGAAAGGTGTAAGTGAAAGTTGTGTAATTTATTTCAACATATCAAGCACAAACAAATTTTCCCCTAACAGGGGAACATCACAAGGAATGTAATTAAAAATCTGGAAACATTTACACTGAAAGTTAGCCCAGACTGGCACCGCCACTAAATATTTTAAGGCTGTGTATGTTTGTGTGTGTGTGTGTGTGTGTGTATATATATATACATATAATATCTTTTATATTTATATATATATATATATAGCAGTACTTACCACTTTGAACTACTTCAGGCCAGAAAAGAAAGGCTTAGTACTGACTGTGAGTCTACATAAAATATTGCAAATTTTTTAAAAATGGTGTAAAAATAGGAAGACTATCAACAGAGTCAAAAGATGCAGTGGCAAACCCTTACTATTCCTGACCGTTAACCTTTAAATGTACCTAAGAGCAAACAACATACAAAGGGTGCTTTCACACAATCACAGGATCAGCCCTACGCAGGGGAGTGGTGCCCTCTGTCATACTAAAAAGCCGCTGCCCCTTGATGCAAAGCAAGGGAAGCCAAACCAACATATTGCAAGGGATCGCTCCAGCGGACATACGAGCAACTGTTTACACCTGCTCATGGATGTACCCTGTATGCATTTGCATCAATGGACAAGAAATTCTCCTACATCACAAGATAAACCCAGTGAATCCCAGTACTGCAGTGATTTGTGATGTACAAAATTACCTATATACAGAAGTGCTTATATACCCATGTCCACCCATTTTAGAATAATGGTACATTTCGGAGGCATTCCTTTATACAATGTGTGTGTGTGTTTTAATCAATGTAAAAACAATCACTCTCTCACTCTCTCCCTATCTCTCTCTCTCTCTCTCTGTGCTCATGTGTGCAGACACAAACAAACATAATGATTCATCAACTGGCATGTTTGACCCAATGGACTTAGTTTGGGGCTTCACTGGTTTTGAACGAGAGGCCTCATATCTCCTAAATAGGACAGGCTCTAAGAAATCATGCATATTTACAGTCTTGGTGGAATGGAGTGTGATGTGCTCCTCGTAGGATGTGGTACATGAGAGCACTAAAGAAAATATCCAAGGAGAAGCTGTGCTATTTATACCCAATTGGCTTAATTTTCAATGGCTGCCTGATGTTCCTTTCTGTATCTGGATTGATGCCAAAATGCCCCCCCCCCCCCCCGGTCACAGAAGAGCTACAAAACAAGCCACTAGGAACCATTTTGAAAAAACAAGTAAATGTCTATAGTGTTAATGGGGGCTCCAATACTGGTTGGTAAAATTTAGTTGCATCAGAAAATGACAAGACATAGAAAACAAAATTGCACAATTAAAGCTACATTTGGCTTTAGCATTAAGGCCCATACAGGTAAAGAGGTCCTTGTAGATGTACATGTAAAAAGGCAATGACATTAATCTGAAGAACAAAACTTTGCAGGTTCCCTGGTTAACCTTGTTCTCCCTTCCGCCCCTGGCTGCGTAGGCATTAAAGTGCTTGGTGCCTCAGGTGGGCCCCTTGCAATTCAGTCTCCTTGTTCTTGCAGCTGGTCACTTTTATTGCTGCCAAATGCAGTGCTTCTATTTGAACACGTAGTTAATGAAGAGCTGACACGTTAGAAAGATGCACAGAAGAAACCAACAGCGAGAGTCCAGGAAGAGACTTTCTGATGAGGCCTTCCTGTAGAGGGATTTTTTGTTCAGAGCAGTGAGGTTCCTGCAATGATAAGTCAAGCAATTGTGATTCAGAAAGGAAACAGTCACTTATTTCATTACTGCAGATATAAAACACTCTGGATCAATACACACTTCAATGTCAAACAAGCCTGGTAAATAAAATATATTGTCCATACTTGTTTCTTCTCTTACAAGCAACATCAGCAACATACAGATAATGGCTTGCAGTGCAGATGACAAAAACCTATGGCTTACTTAACCTGTGATGTCTTATTGAACCCCTAGGGTTTGTTTGGCAGTGGACTGAACAAACCACAGTGTGGTTCCTTATTCCCTGGCTTTGTTTCCTTCCTCTTTCACCCCGTCCCTCCTGCCCTCATTTATCTATTTATTTACTTAATTACTTACTTTTCTAGGCCATCCCTTACTGAGGTCTCGGGATGGTTTAACAATAAAACAATGTAAAATAAAACACAGAATCCTAAAAAAATCCAACTGACAAAAAAACCCCAATTAAAAATCAGATCTTAAAATATTGGGAAAATAAAAAGGTTTTAGCCTAGCACTGAAAAGAATAAAGGTATATCCCAAATACCTTTGTGGATCTGTTACAATGACGTGTACAACAGGTGGGCTTTTTAGCTGTTCATGTCTGTGAACCCTGCAGCCTGGTAAAACAGACCTTGAATAACCTTGTAGCTCAGGGATTGCAGGTAACAACCACCAATGGTTTAAACAACCAAGAGCTCATAACCAAGCAACAAGCCATGTGCTCTCTTCCTGGGTTGCTTAGAAACCATGGTTTGTTTGTGCAGCTGGGTTCACACAGAACAACAAATCAGAATTCAACAATCCAAATTATAGGTTATTGTTATGTGCAAACTAGGCCAATGCTACGTCTTCTCTTTCTTATTGGAAACTCACTGACAGTCAAAGGATAGTATCCTCTACCTGCAGGTCTGCCAGCTTTCCAGCTTCTTATTTTAAAAGTGATCAGAACAAGACAAGAAGTGCTTCTAACAGGATTCTTTCCCCTTTCAATTTATTGTTGTGATTAAGCAAGGAAAAAAATAGTCTTTCAAGAAGTGAACTGCTAAATCAAGAAGCTGCAATAAGGAGATACTCTCCACACTGGTAGCACTGTTAGTCCATTGCAGCAAAAACAACAAAGAGTTCTTTGGCACTTGGAAGATACAATAAATTCATCCTGGCATAAGCTTTCAGTGTTCATTCCTACAAAGCAGCAAATTAAACACATTTCAAAGGAACAAAGTTCAGGGAAAAGGAATCTCTGGCCCGCCAGATGTGATTGGGCTACAGCTCCTTGGCCAGCATAGTCAGTAGGAATGGACAGTTAGAGCTGGTGTTCAGCATCTTTAAGTCTGTACAGTCCCTGTCCCCATTTTACAGAATCAACTCTTTTTAGCGTTTACACTGTAGAAGAATATGCAGCCTACTTTTATACTTCACTTTTAACAATGTAAGAGACATAAATGTCACTTTTAATCTCTTCCTCCTTATTACATTAAAAAAGGCTGGTTTCACTCATGAGTTTCAAATAATAAACATTTTTTAAAAAAATGTAGCAGTTAATAGAAATAACAAAAATATAACAACAAAATCACAATAAAATAACCATTGGTTGATTCTAACCATACTTGATTTGTGTTTATATCACTGTGCTTTTATTATTGTATGATTTGTTATTAATCCAGGTAGCTCCTTTGAGAATTTATTAGAAAACAGTATATAACTTCAAATCATCCTTCATATCATCATCATCATCATTCCAATGATGTTTGTTTTTTTGCATCCCAAAAATAAGCTGAAAGATGGCCAACTTCATCCAATCTATTGGCTTTACTTTCAGCACGTGTCAATGACATGATGCTGCTTCACAGCGTTTGTACATGAGCCACACCCCACAGCCAGTCTCTGGGTAGCCTGGATGTTGCCAAGAGGGACATCCTGGGAACAACATTCACTGATTCACTGCTCTGAAGTCCCTGAGGTCAGAGGACCTTGCTCTATGGGAATTTTAGTGCCTTCCTTTTCCACAAACACTGGCAGTTACCTGAAACTGAGACAGATGGTTGCACCAATAAGACGCCATACCTGTGTATATCCTGTTGGGCTCTCTGGAGGGATAAGACAGCAGTGTGAATTTCCTTCAAATGGTTGTTTTCTTTCCCACACTGAGTACATGGACTTCCAAAACCTGTGGTGAAAAACAGCAGGGTTTTCGCATGCTTTTGGAATGTCATTTCATGTGTGGTAATTTTCTTTTTTCCCCAAAGAGGAGGAAAATATTCCAATATGCATGGGAAATGTTAAAATGGAGGCTGTAGTGTAAGGATTGCACACCTGCATAAAAAGTTATGAAACCCTGAAATCTCTCTTGGTGTTGCAGATTTCCCAGATCTGTTTGAGAAAGAGACACACTTACAGCTGACACCTTTGCCACATATGCTCCTGCAAAACTGTTATCAAACTGACACATCTGACTCTGACATGGGGCGGTTCCAGATGAGGCTCTTATAGCAACATCACCTTGCCTTATTCACTTAATTTTATGGGAGATCCAGATGACAATTCCTTCCATAATTCTTCAGTGTTTCCCTGCTGCTACTTCTGACTTTTTTCTTATCATTGAAAGTCTGTTAAAGGAAGGATAACAAAGGGAATAGTTTCATGAGGCATTCTCATTTGTAATGCTAGGAGCCTTCTGTATGAAAGTACCCTCAAAAGCAGAATGCTCCTCCTGAAGCTTACAAGAGGTTGCATGGGGCAGGGAAACAGGTTTGGGATTGAGGACTTGGTATTAACTCTGTGAGAGCAAGAAGCCACAATGACAAAGCATCTCAGTCTCAGCAACAAAACATCAGCAGGTATGCAAGTTAAGTGAGAAGGGAAGTGCTATTTACTTCATGTGTGTGTCTGTATTAATTATGCCTGCTAATCACCTAAGCTCATAGATTATCAAATGAAGTCAAACAAGAGTATAGCAAAGGAGGCAAAATTCCAGAAAGGGAACTGTTTAGAAACATATAGTTGGGGGCTAAATCCCAGGAAAGAAATCTGTTAGGAACTTACAGATCCTTCAGTTTCGCTCAAACAGAGACTCCATATTTAAACAAAACCCAAGCTGAGATAGGGGAAAGAAGGGCAATATATATACCTGGTCCCCAGTGGGCAACTGGTTTGCCACTGTGGGACAAGAACACTGGACTAGTCAGTTCTTTGGGTTAACCCAATGTTGCTTTTTATGTTCTTCCAATGTTGCTTTTTATTTTCTTCTGAGCAGAAAGGGAGGAATTGTTAAGAACCTACCCTTCTGTCACGCCTGATGCCTCAACAGAGTTGGCACCTCACGAGGAAGAGTCAAACGCCCAAAGAGAGAATCAGACATCAGAACAGGAGGACTTATACTTGAGGCCCTGTGGTCAAGTGACCCTTCCACAACCTGGCTTGGGAATAGCTGAACAGATAGCCATCCCTCATCCTGACCCTTTACCCCTTGGGCAAACAGCCAAGCCTCAGTCCGACCATGAGGGCCCCGAGGGAAAAGACACTACACGTTCTGTCCCTGAGGAGCGTGGGCAAGATACCCCCCTTCCTCCTGATGCTGAGTCTCCTGAACAAGATACAGAGGACGCAGGAGGCGGGATAGATTTGTCCCACGTGACTCTTAGACGTAGCTTACGCAGATTGGAACAAAAGGAGGCTTTGTCCCACCTTAGGGGGGAAAGGTGGGACAAAGAAAGCTAATCCCACGTGGGTTCCCTGAGGGATGTCACTAAGAAGATAGCAACTAACTTGTAAAGGTCATTGCAGTAGAGCTTATTCGTAGCATCATAAATCGTAAAAAACTAAAAGACTTTAGTTTTATTGCCTGCATAAGTTTACAACTGTGAGCTGACACCTCACAACACCTTCCTTCTGTGCTGTGGTTTTCTTTTTCCTGTCCTCTAATGCATACAGCTGCACTTAGCATGTTCTTGTCCGTTTAAAAAACTTTCTGCTCATGGACATCAGCACAAACAAATATTACACTGAATGGCATGAAGGATATCAGTGGATGCTGGGCAGTTGATACACTGTTACCCACAGTTGATAAACTGCTTTGGTGCACTATCATTTTCAATATGCACCAGGTTTGTAGTCTCAGCTTTGGTTCTGAAATTCCCATGGAGGAACTAAGTGCACAGTCATTTGACCTTCATAGCAGGATTCATAACCATTCCAGAGATCTTACATATGTTTTTAGTCAAGCTTCGGCAATGCTTCTTGTTCTGTAGGCATCCTCCACACACAGATATAGCACTGGGCAAAAGATATCACCTTGCCTGCTTTATAATACATTTTCTCAAGGTGCAGAATAAAAAATAACCCTTTGAAAAATCCACTGACAATATGACAAAATACACTGGCATTAGAAGGATTTTCTGAAATCTACCCAGACTTGTATCTCTTTGGAAAGGAGGTGATAAAGAAGGATCCTTTCTTTAAATCCAGTTGTTTTATCTTCTGTTTCAGGGAAGCCTGGATTCTTTGATGCCTTTTGCAAAGAATGCTACAAGAATTCAGCAGTAAGAATGCAAAATGAGTCAGCTTTACCCCATTTGGCATCCTTCGGGCCTCTTGAACATCCCCCGCATCCCCAGGCAGCATGGCCAATAGCAGTGGGCTCCAGGTTAGGGAAGTCTGTATGCTATTGTGGTGTGACTGGGATTTACCATGGGCTGCAGGTGAAGAAAAAGTTCTGGACAGTTCAGGACCTTGAAAAATACATACCATCATCATCTGAAAGTTCCTGCACAGACTCCGGTGTTGAACAGCTACTTTCAGTGTTCTGGCTGTTGTTGGAGGGTTGGTCACTGGCTTTACGCCGCCTACAATCATGTGCAGACCTCTGAATGGAAAGGAATAACAAGAAGCCCATGAGACGTACTCACTGACCAAAGTCTCCTGAAGTCAAAGGATAGAATCAACAGGTATCTTGTTTTCAGAGGGAGCTACACATGTTCATTTCAAGATCCTTGAAGTCCTCAAGCCCCTTGTTTAAGTCACCCTGCTGGTTTCTGTGAATACCTGAATGATTATTTGAAATAAAGTTTTTTGCTGGACTGCTAAGGCCCAAACCACTCCCCCACTGCAGCACTATAGGACAGGGATTTGCATGGTAACACCATCAGAGGAACCAGCAATAAAATGTTGCCACACACCCTGATCTTCTAACGGGAATGCACCTGCCTGGAGAGGCCCACTCAGTCCAGCTCTAGGGTGCTCCAACCGATTCCTCCTCACCCCGGTTGTCCATTTTTTTTTTGCAATGTTCCGTGCAAAAGCTCCCAAGCATGCACAGCACCCACTGGGGTTTTTTTGCTTTGCTCTTCATTTTTGCCCCATTAGATTTTGTTTTTAACCATGTCTTTGTACTTCTTCAAATATTTCTGTTTGTACTTCAGGTTTCTCTGGCACTTCAATAGCCCCTCCTTGTTTTTCAATGGTCCCATTTTGGCTCCATTCCTATTGGCACTCACTGCCTGAATTTACTATTAGCAGGACCGGTAGAATGGAAGTAGGAAGCCTTGCGGCATTATAGCAGCCACTGTGGGAAGGGATTTCATCTCATGTCACACTTAAGGAACTAAGGCTGAGAGACTAGGATTTGCTGATGGCAAATTTGCCAGACTAGGATTTGGCTGATGCTTGAGATCATTCACAAGCACAATGGTAATTGCCTAAGCTTTAGTCAATTTCTTCTTTATTTATTTTATTTTATTTATTTATGGATTTATATCCTGCCTTTTTCCTACAAAGGGCTCAAGGCAGCTTACATCATTCTCCTCCTCCATCTTATCCCCACAACAACAACCCTGCGAGGTAGGTTGGGCTGAGAGTCTGTGACTGGCCCAAAGTCACCCCGTTGGCTCCATGGCCGAGCAGGGACTCGAACCCAGGTTGTCTGAGTCCCAGTTCCATGCTCTTAACCACTACACCACACTGGCTCTTGTTGCTGTTGCCTTCACTTTTTAACTTTAAGTGAAAATAAAATAACATTTCATGGAAAAAATGTTTCCAGATAATAACTGACATTGGGTTGTCGAATCAGAAGACCCTCGTATCCATTGTGAAATCACACTTTCCCAAACTTGGCTCAGAAAGTGCTCATGACACATTGACTGTGTGAGCACTTCTCTCCAAATGCCATGGAAAAATCCCACGCAACTCACTACAGTGGATTTGCTGGAGGGTGGCGAGTTACCTTGTGCCGGGCAACTTGGCTGCTGATGCACATGTTCTTGTGAGCTGACATTCTATCGGACAAGCGCCTCTGCATGGTTTGAAGTATGCCATCCTTTTCATACTGGGCAATGTCATTTAAAGGGTCCCAGGGCCTTAAACTTTCAAAAGGAAGAAGATGCTTATGAGAAAAAAGAAAGCCACCAAGAAGAAATGTCTATTAAGCATCGCTGGCAAACTTTGGCCAGTGTGCACAGTTGATATCAGGCATGCATACAAGTTGTCTCTAGCCTGCCCCATTTGTACAAGAGCCATCCCCCACCCCACACACAAATACTCACGAACCAAAGGTGTACCTACAATCTGCTAGCTGTTTTCTAGTATATTGTTACAGCTTCTCTGAAAGGATCTTAGGAACTTTCCAGAGGAAGCTAGGAATTGTAGTTTTGTCAGGAATGGCCAGGAATCCCTAAAACAATTTTAGCAAAGGTTCCAACACTTCGTTAGTGTTTCCTAGCCATTCCACTATTCTCTGCGTTCCTTGGAATGAGATTGGTTGACCAGTTTAGCACAGTGGTATAGATATGCCCCAAGTATGTACCACACGAGCCGCTTCCAGTCCCCATATGCTACTGGCCACTCACTCTTCATATTTGTAGTGCCACTCGTTTGTGGCAGGGTTGTGCCAGAAGAGCAGGGGCCTCCACTCGGTCCCGTTCTCCTTCCGCTCCCGTGCTGCATTCCGCTGCTCCTCTTCCAACACAAACTTCTCTTGAGTGGCCTTGTTCTGGTCTCCTTTGTTGATTGCGCTAGTCACATGCTGCCAGAGTCTAACAACGAGGAACACAGGAAGCTGCCTCACCCACAGCCGGATCCTGGGTGCCCCCAGCCCAGCACTAGTGACACAAACTGGCCATGGCCCTTCCCTTCCCTTCCTGGAGACACTGGGGCTGAGGACCTTGAGGTCCCTGGAGGAGCTTCTGCATGCAAAACAGGTGCTCTAACATTGCGTTCAGCCCTTCCCCTTTTAAGAGTCAAGCATAAGTGCCTGTCTATGGCCTGAAAAGTCATGAGGACCACCCACCCTGGAAGTGTCATTCAGTGGGGAGGCTTGGCACAAATTAAGAAGGGATTCCAGATGTGCTGAAAAGACACAGTTCTGCAGTATCAACAGACAGCAGAAGGAGCAGATGCTTGCTGTTTGGACTTCGGTCTCTACTCTCGCAACTGCAACATTCATCACCGGGTTCTAGAGCTGCACCATTCCCTGACAGTGATATGGGCTCCTCTCAAGAAGGAAAAGGTGGGATATAAATGCAGTGTAGTATTATTGTTGTTGTTCTTAACAATGCACTTATCAGTCATCTCAACAGTCTAATCCCTACGCCAGCTTCCCCAACCTGGTGTCCTTCAGAGGTCTTGGCTAACATTTCCCATAAGCTCCAGCCTACATCAGCTCCTCCTTCCCTTGTTTTATGGAGGGGAAGTTCCCATGTACTGAAATTCAACTTCCAGACAGGAATCTCTCCCTCTACTGAAATGCTCTGTAAAACACAACAGTGAGATGAGGAATTCTCCCCAGGAGTGTGTCAGCTACAGGGATCTTTCCTGTGTGTGGCTCAACTGCCCCTAAAGGGGACCTGCCTACCCTACCTTTCCGATTCGAACTCGGTTTGCTCTTCAAACAACACAATGTGACGCTTCAGCCTTTGTTTCCGGACCTCACTGGTTGGGTTCCAAAAAATCTCTGTGCTACCATTTTTCGTATCACTTATATACACTTCTCCATCCTGAAAGAGGAAGAAGAAAATACAGGATTTAGCATGCTTCTAGATAAGGCTTTTCAGGTGTCATCACCTTGCCTCACTCAAGGAAATGCAGAGGGGGTCCAGGTGATGGCATCTTCTACGCAGGAAGATGCCATGCCGTGCCATGTTTTCTTACCAATTCTCCTACCCTCTTCCTTAACAACAAAAGAGCTATTAAAGAGAAAATGACAGAACAGCTGCATCAGGTCTGCAGATTACTTGCACTAGGAGCCCTTCTTCTGGAAAAAGCTTGGTGCTTGCATAAAATGGTAGCAGACATGGTCACTCATATGCTAAGCGCAAGGAAACCCTTGTTTGGATATATCTGCTGTGCTGATGTTACTCCAACAAGGCTCAGGCCCTTCAGGAACCATCCATGGGCTTATTTAAGAGTAGGATGTAGCAGTATTACAAAACCTGGACACTTACTTGAAGCTATGGGATGGCCCTGGGCCCATCACCTTCCCTCAGCTTATTATCTCTTTTGTGCTGCTGTGGGGAATGCAGAAGAGGAAGGCATATGTATGCTACCCTGCCCTGTGGATGATGGTATTAGTGATGATGGTGGTGGTAGTGGTGTCTTGGGATTCTCCAATATTATTGCTGGGTGCGAGCCAGTGCAAACTCTTCCTCCTCCACCACTGATAAAAGCAGGATCTGAAGCCGACCTTGCTATGAGGGAAAAACCACAGCTGCACAGACCATTCTGAGAGGCAGGAGATGCACCGAGGCAGAAAGAGCAGGGCAACATTGTTAGCTTGACATTCTCTGTGTTATCGTTGTCCAAATGCCACCAGCATGTCCTTTTTGGCCACTGTCAGTTTATCCTGAAAACTATCCACTAATAAAGCTCTCCTGCTTGGAAGTGCAGAGGGTTATGGGCTTGATTTCCATGGCTGTCCACAGAGGACAAACCAGAAGACAGCTAACACGGCTCAGCCTAGAAAGCGCATGGCCGCATATTCAAAAGCGCATGACCGCATATTCAAAATAATTTCTGATGCTATTAGAAATTCTGCTATCGAGCCCAGTGTGTGAATATCTTCTCAGTTACTCATAAGTTGTCATGATGCCGACCCACCCAGTGGCTTCCTCAGAGCTACTGTCCACTCAGCATTGTTTCTAGTTCTTCAGTTTATGGGAGGTGGGTGGCTTTGTCGCAAAATGCCTATGACCTGCATGTGACAATCCATCACGGAAAACAAACCAAAGTGCAAGCACCACCACGAGACCACTTGGCCAGGACAGTTGGGTTCTGAGAAGCTGATCCATTCATGTATCAGAACACATACGCTGTTTCAGTATGACACAGCATTACAGAGAGTTGGGGTGCTTCCAGGTATAATCTTTCTCATGCCATCACCCAGCCCCATTGATGGAATTTTATGGAGGTTATCAACTTCGATATTTTCCTACTACTTTTTGCATCTTTTTCTTACTCCAGAAAATCTGTTAAATAAGAAAAGACAGGACGGCTCTGCAGGGCCTTTGAATTATTAGCCCAAGCACCCTTCTGCTGGAAACATTCTGACACTGGGATGTGAATGGAAAGTGGGAGTAGCTGGGGAAGAGGTACATATAAACCTATACAGCCAAGGGCCGCAAAAACCTTCAGTCAGGTACCATGTTCCCAAAATTCAGGTGTTTTGCCAAATAGCCAACCTTTTATTTTTTAGGAAATAGCAAAATGGCCTTGATTTCGAGTGCAAGATATGTTGTCCTTGCATATTTGGTCTTCCCATTCCAGATGTTAGGCGCATTCCCGTTTTCTTTTATCTGGCCAACAGGGACCTTAATGCTGGTTTCTCATTGTAAGCACATAAGACTGCCCCAACGAAAGGGTCCCTGTTCCTCCATCACTTCCATAACCAAGAAGAAACCTGGGGGGCTGCCCTCTGAATTTGCCTTCCCTTGCTAGATAAGACATGGCTCCCAGTACCTTTCCAACGGGAGGAAGAGATGCACACCGAGGTTTATTCCTTGTTGTTCTCTCTTCTCGCCCCCACGGGGACTTGTGGATCTGTGGGCGGGGTGGGGCAGCTCGACTAGCTGGATTTGGCTTGCAGTTGAGGGGCTCTGCACCCCTCTCTACACATTCCCTCACTAGCTTTTGACCAGAGCACAGTAAAACTTGGGTTTCAGAATCTGAGCCAGCAGTGACAACCAAGGACTGCAAGATCTATGACTGTGCAAATAGGTCTGTCTGTGGCAACTGTCCACCCAAGAACCATTTGTTTTTAAAAGCCAGTCTCTCCTTCAAAGCAGCACAGAACACAACATTATTCAACAGTGTCCCTTGTCCTCCATGCTGCTTCATGGGAGCTTTTTAAAATTGTCAGCAAAGACGATTACGATTTCTTACCCAGTGTCCATCCAGGCTTGCCAGCACTTCTTCTCCTGATTTAATCTTCCCCGAGATTTGATTAATGCTCGTGCTGCCACCAAAGAATGGCTTTTCAGAGGAGAGGAGAGGGAATAATAAAACATTTTAGCCCAGAAAAAAATGGAAGGCCATCCAAGAACAGAGATGACCCAGACCGAAACTGAATTTGGATTTCTAGACCTGCCAGGAAAGGATCAGCTCCTATCACTCCTGTCGTGTTAAAACATATGTCACACAGCAGCATATTTCAGCTGTGGCAAAGCACTCATCTGACTGCTTTGTCAAACATGCAGGCACGGCACGTTCAGGCAAAACCGAGTCTGTACACTGCGCCTTCATGGTAATATGAGCACCTACCTGGGACAACCCTGGTACTCAGACAAGGTTCTTAATGACTGCCTCAAAACCAGTCATTAAATCTCCATCTAATGCATCTTTTTCCCAACCTGCAGATGGGTTGGACTGCAACTTCCATCAATCTCAGTCAGCATGATGGAGGTGCCCTGCTGCCCACCAGCAGGGCACCAAATTAAGGATGGATGCCCTGAGAGACTGAAAGTCACTTCCATCCCTTTCAGAGGTGCTGCTGACATCTTTGATCGGGTTAGTCCTGACCGACTGTCCTCTGCTTTAACCTTACACATGAATTGCACGTTGCTGTGGTAAGAACTGGGATGACTTCAAGGTTAGCCCTGTCTGTTACACTGGAAAATGGGGATGAAACCCCAAGAAGGCAAAGAAATGAGGAGGTGCTGAAGAGAAGTTCACAACAGTTACCTTCAATTTGAATTCCAGTTCTGCCCGATGATTGCTTTTCTCACAGTCAATGGTAACCTTCCCTCCAAGCTCCATTGTCATGGTACCATATAAAATTCCTAGCATCAGAGAAAAATACAACTATTATCAAGATGGTATGATTGCCAAAAAAAGAGGTTTCATAGATGAGACATTTAACTTACTATATTTATTTCCAGTTTTGTCACAGAATTAAAATTGAATTTCTACACCAAGAGTTTTTTCCTTCTATTTTTCTGTACTTTCCATTACATTACTGCTAAGTGGTACTTTGCTTTTGCTTTGGCTAAAGAATCCTGGTCCTATTCTGTCACTCCAAATCATTCTCACTTTCTTGTGTTATTCAGTACATTCTACAAAGCTATAAAATGGGGATAAGCCTTTGCAATTCAGAGAAAAACACCAAACATTTATGGCTGCAGCAATAAAAATAGGCATCAATGAGCTGTAGATTTCAGGGTAATTTCAGGTCAACCAAGACCTAGGAATGGGGGAAAAATTCCATCTTTTCACATTATAAAGCTAACATTCCCAATTTGCTTTTTTGGAATCAATACATGAACCAAAACCCTATTATACATCAATATTTGTACTTTTCTGAATTTTACAATGTAGTTCTTCAACCATGCACTTATTAATGTCAACAGCATACAACAATGTTAAGAATTAAGACTCAGAGTAAATGCATGTGAACATGTGTATGAATTTTCATGTGAACTTAACATTCACAGACTGATAAAGAAACAGGATCAAATGAACATCAGGCTGGAAAAATCAGAAACTGGTTGAAATCAAAGTTGATGGAAGTATCTGAGGCTTTCCTAGCTCCTTTCTGCCCAATACAGTGTGTTGCTGGGTACCATTTTAGCCCTTGTTGTCTCCCTGGTGCTCTTTAGAGGAAGGATGGGGAGAGGAACAGACCCTTGTGCTTCTTTGAGTTGGACAAGCAGCAGCCAGTTAGGGGTGTAATGGGACACCTTTGGAGAAAAACAGTTTTTAAGATGCAATTTGCATCTTGGGAGAGTGATGGTGAGAGTCATTGCTTGGATCCTGATTCCTCCTGCACAGATTTTCAAAGCTCATCCAATGCTAATTCTACTATGCATGGTTTCTGCAAAGTTTTGCTCAAGGAACAGAGTTACTGAAAAAGGCATCAAGTTGCAAAGCCCTCCATTCCATCTTGCCACATAACAGTTAAATGAGTTTATTTTCATTCCTGGTATCTCCCTTCCCAAGTTGTTATTTCTGATTCCATTTCTAGCCACAGCTCCAGTGGGACCACTACTTCAATTGTTCTTGATGACTTCTTGTGCAGAGACAAATCAAGCACATGAAGCAAAGACAATGACTCATAATTCAGCAGGAGCAAGTAGGCAACAAGTAAATCTCCCTCTGAGTTCTGTGTAAATAAACACTGGATTGTGCTCTGCAAGGTAAGGTGTGTGTTTGCAAGAGATTTGCTGTGTCTGAAATGAATTAGTGTTCAGAATTTGCAAACAGAGTAGAGCTAGTCTGGTTTTCTGATAATGTCTGAAAAGAGTAACTGTGCTGCCTTCATCCCTGTGTAAAAGCACTGCAGCTTGGGTTGAGCGCAGCTTACGAGACACTTTGCTTTTCTTAATGTAATCACTGTAGCCCTGTCCTTCGTGTAACGTATTTACGATTTGTTGCTGAAATCCCTACTCAGAATTAACTCAGATGAAGTGCATTTCTACTGGTATAAGCAGGTCCTGATAAGATTGGTCAAATGCAAAAGAAGACAGGGTTCCTGCACTTTTAATAGTTGTGCAAAAGTGAGGAAGTTCAGCAGGTGTAGCTTGTATTCTATAAACCTCTTAATGGTGCAGTAGTTCCATCCTCTGCAGCATCTGGTTATGAGGTTCCCAATGAGCTGCAACAGCTAATTACAACCGGTAGTCTTTGTTTTGCTGTTTTGTCACTGGCTTCCACCAGTGGCCTCTGGCTTGTTGCTGTCTTTTAAACAATAGATCCTCATTCCTGAAGTCTGCTCACCTCTAACCCCAAGTCATTACAACTAGGGAATCCTGTGTCTGCTGATAAACATCTCTTTGAAAGAAAAGAAGGCCTGCAAGTCCCAGTCCCGCCCAGAAGCCCGGCCATACCCCACCTTTGCAGTGTGCGTAAGGCATGGTAATGATGTACTCCTCCCCACTGCTTAGAAATGTAAGCTTAGCTTGTCCATCCAATAAAGCTGAGAGTGAATTGCCTGTAGAAACAAGAGTATAATGAACATGAACACTCCTCTTAAATGGGCAGTAGGAGAAAGCAATTAAAAAAGCACATCTCTAAAGAACTCTGCGGGAGAGTCCCTTCTCCGGGAACCCTCCATGAAAGAAATTAGGAGAGTAAGTACTCGGAGGAGGGCTTTCTCTGTGGTGGCGTCCAACCTATGGAATTCACTCCCCAAAGAGGTCCGCCTGGCACCGTCGTTACTGGTTTTTCGGCGCCAGGTAAAGACCTTTTTATTTAAACATCATTTGAATGGTTAAAACATATGATCTGGCCAGGGCAACTTCTTCTTCCTTCTCTTTCTCCTCCTATATTTTTATTTACTTAAGTTATACTGATAATTTTAATCTTATATTTGTAAACCAATGTATTTTTTGTATTTTGTATTTAATGGTAATTTATTATGTGCCATTGTATTTCATTGTATTTTATCGTGTTGTAAGCCACCCCGAGGTTTCGGCAAGGGGCGGCATAGAAATGTTATAATAATAATAATAATAATAATAATAATAATAATAATAACAACTTCCTTGACTTTGGTTAACAATAACAACAACTGCAACTACAACAACTGCAACAAATCTGCTTTTTCCCTTTTGCAAGAAACCCAAAGTGGCTTATATGTTCCTCTTCCTCTCCATTTTATCTTCACAAGAACTCCCATTGTGGGACTGCTCCTACTGAGGACAGTCACTGATCCTTTTAACCTTATATGTATCCTGTGAACCCATTTTATTTAATGAAATAAATACCACTTTGCTTTTCTTTTTAGCCTAAAAAAACAAAAACTGGAAGATCATGGCAGGGCAAGCCTCCTCACCAAAAAGGAAACACATGCTGCATCGTTGCTCCAGTGCCTTACCGTAAAATTTAGATTTGGCTAGAATGCTGCCAGTTATACAGAACCCATCCTTCCGATTACTGACATGAAAGGCCGATACAGGAGGGTGATGAGAAACCTACAAGAGAAGATGACAAGATGAAGCAATACGCAAGCCACCATTTAGATGGAGGTAGATAAAACTCAGAATGCTTGCTGCTGATGCTTCTTGCTTCTGATGCAAGAGACGCTCAGATTTACCTGTTCTGCTATGTAAAACGTGTGACTGTTTGTCTGCGGATGAAACCAACAGCAACGAAAGGTCTCTCCCAAAATGGGATTGTATGGCTTTTTTATTCCCTGGAAGAAAGGAATTAAATAGGATTACACAATACTAGGTTGCTGGCCCTATCTGACCATGTGTTGAAGCAGGTTCCTGAGCACCCAGCTAATGAGGGTGGGGATAGGGAGCTAAATTGGAATGTTTGCATGAGCCCCACTGGCCTTGCCTGGAAGCACCTTTTGGTGCAGATGGCACTGAGAATCTCCATATGGGGCCACCGCCTCTTGGGTACGACTGCTTGCTCAGGACTAGAGACGGATTGCAGTAAGATCCAGGCCAGATGCAACCCAGGAGTTACTGGGCTGTTTACCTCAAACAGTTTCAAACTGTAAACTGAGTTTCCAGTCTGTGTGCCATCCCGCCTCAAGGAATCAATGGAATACAATGGCTCAGTATCCCTTCCTTGTCCGAACACTGGGGAATGCTTGCAATTAATTGAAAGGTTGTGCCATCATTTCCAATACAAAATCCCGCCGTGGGCTCTTCCATAAACACTTCAAGATAAAAAATATTTATTTATTTGATTTATTTGCATATATTTATAGGCTGCCTATAATTGCCAAGGCCTTCCTAGGCGGCTTACAATGTAAAACATACCAAGAGTAAAAACACATTAACAACCAATTAAAACATAATAAATTAAGCATCTATAAAAACAATTAAAAATGTCCTGCTCTGGTCAGGCTCAGGATAGCATAACATCTGACAGACAAACTATCTTTCTTGTTCTGTTCTAGTTACAGTAGAGGGGTCTCAAACATATTTGTTTACTGGTGGGGGAGTGACCCCATGCTGAGGACTAAGAACCATGTGCAGAAGAAAGTGTATCTTAGGTATGCCCTCTGAGTATGATGTCTAAAGCCCATCAGATGTGTAAGCCAGATATCCAATATTTCAGCATGGGATTTATTGGCTGAGCTACTAAATAGTGAGCTCATGAGAAAAGAGAGTGGGGTGGGCACCCTTCCCAGAATACAACACCCTTGAAGGGAAATGGCCATAGAGAGAAAGAACTCCCATTTCGAGTAGATTTGAAAGAGGTTCTCCAAGTGTACTGAAAACAGTTGATGTTATTATTTCTAGTAATAATTAAATAATACCTTATTAATGATGGTATTTCTTTTATCTCCAGTTTTTATTTGAGCGACAAACAGGAAAAGGAGCTCAAGAGGAAACCATTCTGTAGGGCAGCTTCTATCAACCTGGTACTTTCTCGATACTTTGGACAGCAGCTCTTAGCATAGCTGGTCCTTGGCCCTGCTAGGTGAGGCTGATGAGGAGCTGAAGCCCAAAACAAATGGAGGGCACCAGGCTGTGTGAGCCTGCTTCAGAAGGAACAGGATGTTCAAGTGCCCCGTGCAGCTACTCCACCCTCTCAGAAGAGCATCTCGCATGCCTCACATGACTCAAAGACGGAGCCTCTTAACTAAAATTTCAGAGAACCTCATTCATACATCTGGAACCTTGGACTTCATCGCTTTTGGTCCTTTAAATCTGCTGTATCTCATGAAATCTGCTGCGTTTGGTTCTAGTCATGATAAGTAAAGCATATGTCATATCCAGTGGAGGCTTCACGCTACATTTTGTAGCAGGAAATCACCCGCTTTCCCATTACATTGAATGCATGGCACAAGCATTTGTTTTCACTAGAGCCCTGTCAGACTATTTAGCAGCATATAAATTTGAAAAATAATAAAAGGAAAGCATTAGGGGCAGTAGCAGCAATGCACCATAGGATACTTCCCTTTATATAGAGAAATTCTTAGCTCGGTTTATCCCTTCCACCCGACCACAAAACATTTGGGGAAATGTACAGGTTTGTAATTTTAATTGGAAGACACACTACTGTATCTTAGAAGCATGAACCTGCCATTAAAAAGAGAATATTATAATACACTTGAGTTTGATTTAGGCATTCTCTTACCTTTGGCTTCTTATAAAAGCCTGATAGGTACCATCTCAGGACTTGCTTGATTCGACAATAGGGATCTTCTTCAACAGCAGCTCTATAAGGGAGAGGAAGAATAAGAGCCACTTTAGTTATTCTGAATGATTTTGGAATCAGCACAGGCCTTCACCATGGCACAGAGAATTAACATGATCATAGAATCAGATCAGATGCAAAATGAGAAAGGCAGGAGCATCAAAATGTGCAAATTTTAAAATTGCGCTTCCTGCTCCACCCATTTGGAGAGCGAGATCTCTCCAGCATTTCCTTGCTGCAAAGGCGAGGGACTGGTGAATTTGGGTGGGGGAAGGTATATATAGCTGTGGTTTTTCCACTTTCATGGGGGTCCTGTGCCCTAACGCCCACAAATGTGGAGGGTTGACTTATATGTGATCTGACTTATATACAAATTTGACTTAAATAATGAATTTCCATTTTCTCTGGAATGGAACTCTTTGCAACCTGGGGACTGCCTGTACTTGTGAAAGGGCAGGCAGCTCAAAAGGGAGCAGTATAGTAGATATTTTTCTTTTTTACTTGCATTATCTGAAGGTGCCTCAATTATTTGAGGCTTTTATAAGCCCACTGCCCTGCCTCATTCACAGAATTCTATGGGGGTGAGTGCAAGGTGCCTGCATTCAGCATGTAACCTTCCCATGTTTTCTACCACTTCCTCATCTTTCTTACTGCAGGATGGGGGGCGGGGGCAGCCTATGGGCTGCAAACCACAGAGCCCAACCTGGCCTGTGGAGGCCAAGCACTCTCAGAAAAGCCCCTCCCTTCACTTAACCCCCCGCATTAAAGCTCACCCCATCCCCTGCACTTTGCAACATTCGCACTTTAGAGCATGCCTAAATTTACAGAAGGGGAACAAGTGTTCTTAACCATCCAGTCCTAGAAACCTTTACAGTTCTGCCTGAATCTCCACAGATAATAAATGTATTTATTGTATGTCAGGTCACTGATGTTCAAAATAGACTTCACAATTCACCCTCATGGCAGGTTTGCTCTCTTTGCCCCATAAATTCTGACATCTGTACACCAGCAGGTGGGGTGCGCAATTAGTGCAGATTACCAGCTGGCACAGCTGAGCGAAGTACAAATCGCATCAGAGGTTTTCCCGCCTTGTTTTCCTCATAGCTCCCATAAAGAGTTTATGTCTAATGGTCACTGAAGTGGATTCCTGGCCTGATTCATGGTGCCCACTGATCACTGTGAGAGGCTCTGTATTATCAGGGAAATCTTTCAAACGTATAAATGACCCTGCTACAAGCGGGCGGATGGATGCTCTTGCACATCTGCGCACAGATGTTTACTCTGCAAGCAATGCTTACTGGGAAAGTAGGTCGGCGTGATAGTAATAATCAGAGAGCTTGTTGAGAAAAGAGCGTGGCTCCAAGATGAAAGTGGGCAAAACCACACGAGACAAGTCCATGCCTGGTCGCAGCTGCTTCAGGAGGATCCACATTAAGCTCTTATTTTCCTCGGACACAGTTTCTGTTTGAGAGCATTCACCCGTCTAAAAAAGAAAAATCTTTAGGTTACACTGAAGCTCTCTGAGTAGGATGCTAGGTTTTGGATGGCCCCAACGGATTGTGCTCCAGGTCACTAGTTTGCCAAAGTTCCTATGTTCCACCATTAACTTAGCTTTTAATAATACATTCACATAGCACATGGACTGGTTGCTACGATAGTCTGGAAATGCATGGATGCAGTCAGGAAGTTCACATGAGCTCTACTTTCTTCTTTACTTGTGCACTCTAACTAAGCACAACCTTAGGAAATTCGTGCAGATTCAAACTGCTTTCACAGCTAGCCAGAGAAGCTTCTTTTTGCTTTTAACATCTGTCCATCCCAAGCCATAATGTTCTGTAGAAGTACACATTATGGACGACAAAATACATCATCCATTGTAAGGGTGAGGATTTAAAGCCCAGGCAAACTACGAGAGACTGATGGAGTTCTCAGCTCCTACTTCCTCTTTAAAACAGCCTGTAAAATTTAACTGACATGGTAGCCTGGTTATGGGCAAGATGCATCCCACAACCTTTCTCCAATTTGTAATGAAAAAGAAGGGAAGAGCTTGAGTATGTGAAAGGAGCAGGATGCACAGAGCGAGAGCGTGCCCAAGAGTTGTCTGGGGAGTCTTGCTGCTTCAAGCAGGGAAAAGCTGCACAGCAGGATGCCATGAACAAGAGGGAATTGAGCTCCGTGTCTCTTCTAATGCAGCCCTGCTCAGTTTGATCAAAAGAAAACTTGTGAGCCAGGAGCAATGAAACCTTTCTTTCCTTCTATTGATTTTTATTCGTTACAATCTGTCTTGTGCCACCGACAAACAACATCCCTAAGCTTGATCCTCCACAGATAATGGAACCCATTAAACAAACACTGTTGCAGTCAAGCTGTAAGCTATGATGGGTATCGATTCCGCCTGTGCTTTCATCAAATGCATTTACTGACTTTACAGGGGCATATATCTTGGTCTTGCACATATATACCCCCATGGACTGAAAATCAAGTCTTTTTAACATCATGAATCAAGCACTTCAGACATAAAATTACTCTTCTAACTGCTGGTGCTTGTAGCTGCGTAACACTCAAAAACATACATAACCATTTATAAGTAGCTGTTTTCTCCTGCCCCGCAAATATATGAAGATCCATGGGAGATGTACATCTAAATTTTAACCACCTTCTAAGTAGGCTTAGAGATCAGATTTGAACTACTTGTAATTTGTATAAAGGAGGCTGTGAAAAACCAAAAAACTCAAAAGGCAGAATTTTTACGGAAGAGATCAAATCAATCTTAAGAGCACTATTATTCTTCAGTGGATTCTTGACAGGCATTGCAAAGGTTATGGGGTCAACTGTAGTGAGCACATCTCAGGAAAAATAGCTTTTTTTCCAAGGAAAATGGGACTATATTTTTCAATTGTAGTTTGAATTAATTTTCACCCATGATCACATTAGGTTTTCAATACCATGAACGGAATATTCATCTATAAGGAGGTGTTTGATTCTCTACAAGTTGGAAGTATGTCCCCATGCACACTAAACCAACAACATTAAAAAGAAATCCTCCAACTTGCAGCACACCTCCACTGTTATTAAAAAAGAGAAAAGGACAATGGGGAAAGAAGAAAGAGCCTGAGATCTTTAGAAGGCTGCTATGGGAAACTTTATGACATTCATACATTTCCTAAGCTGTTGTAGAACATTGCCACTGTCTTGGATTCCTCTCTTGGGCTCTCCTAGATTTATGTTTGGAAACCATATATTGCTTTCCTTCACCATCAGCTCAGGCCTATATTCACAAGTCTGTTGTGAACAATACATTTGTAAATGGAAAGCCAATCACATTTCTAGTAGGGGTTAACTTATATGTGTAGTTCAATGAATGTTCTGTACATTTCCAGAAGAGCTGCGCAGCATACTAACTCAGACTGCAACCCTAAGCACGTGTACATGAGAGCAAGTCTGACTTTGCATAATGGGACTTACTGCCAAGCAAGCAAGCAAGCCCAGTATTGGGCTGCTGGTTCAAAGTCCTGCAATTCAGCCTTTTTTTATTTCCATAGCCCATCCAGATTCCACAACTCACTTTCATTGTCCCCTAACTAAGAGATGAGCAATAATGTAAGGATAACACAGTGCATTCTAATTGGACATGAACACTTGCCTTGAGACTATCAAATGAGGTGAAAAATAACATGGTGGTCCTAATACGCCATTTAACATAGGCCATTGGCCTATTATAGCTCTCTGACAACTCATTTTGCTCATTAAAGAAAGAAAAATGGCCATTACTTGCATCTGTCACTGGCAGGAGGCATGTTAGACTGGACTAGAAAACCCATTCTTGGAGTGACAACCCCTCTCCTGCTGCCTCTGGGAAAGGACGCTGTCATTGCTACAGAGCTTTTTACAACAACAGGTTGTAGCTCAGTGAAACCTTAACATGGAAACATGCTATTAAAGGAGTTGCTATTTCTTGTGCAAAGTGATGGCATGACTCAAGTTAAAAGAGCCAGAATAAATGGCATGGAATAAAGCATTTTTTGTTGTAAGAAGATGAATGCAGTGGACAGATGAATGGCAAACCCAAGACAAACTTTCTAGGTAGACAAAGTTTAAAACGGTTGTTACCTCCCCAAATTCTTCATAGTTCTGCTCTAAGTAAGTTGTCCCCTTCTTCTCCTGGGACAATTCTCCATGGATTTCAGACTGATCACTTTCACTCTCATTGGTCTTCCGGCTGTTCTCATGCATCTCATTCTCAGATTCATCGTTGTTGTCTCTTTCAGATTTGTCTGAAAAAGCATCATTCTCCAGGTGATGGTTCTCCAGAGCTGATTCGTTAAGACTGAAAAGCACAGGTGGTTGTATGGTTTACATTTCAAGGCACTGGTTGTTAAGCCTCTCGATGGAGCACAGGCCAAGAAGTGGGAGCATTCTTAGGGATTTTCATTTGGGCCCAGGTTGCATTAGATTTCATATATTATTAGGACAGTCACCCAATTCAACAATTCAAGCCTTAAACATTTGAACAATTCAACAATTCAAGCATTTGTCAATTCAACATTCAAGCGTGAACAAATCAGTCAATTATGAACACCAGAGTCAAGGTGCAAAATGGAGGCCTGAAAAAGATCTTTCCCCTGGCATCCACAAATGTTTTAAAGCATTTTTAAAATTTCAATGGCCAACCATAAACAAATGCAGATTGATGACACTTAAAAATGTGTGGCTGGATATACTGTTTTCATAAAAGCCTCTCCTATGATTATGAGAAGCTTTATTAGGAAGCTTTCCAATCAAATATAGTGTTTTCAGGCATAGTGCCAAGATACATCTTTGCAGTCCTTCTGTAGGCCCGTGCTCACTTGTATGAGCTGAACTGAGCTGGCTTTGCTTTTGTTTCATTTTACAAGAGGACAGTTTAAAAGGTTTAAAATACAGCAACATCTTGCAACTCAAAAAGCCAGGTGAAAATGCCTCTGTGTCAATCCTCTTAAAGGATGGCAGATAATTTTTATACATATTTATATTTGATTTATTGCACCAAGGCAAGGTCACACAATAAAATATTTGCTTTTTATGTCTGTAGCTCAGCATTTTCAGTGGATACCAACTTTGATGCCCTTTCTATTTTGAAAAAAAAAAGTCCTCTGTGTCCCTCCTGGAGGCCATGCAAAAGAAGGATTTATTTAATGAGGCCGGATTGGATAGACTTGATGTTCTGAAATCCAGATGCCCTTCATTTAAACATTGTACGCCTTCCTGAGAATTTTATATAATAGGACGGCTTATAAAAGGTTTTAATAAACAAACAAACAAACAAACAAATTTAACAACACCTTTACTCAGTCCATAGACCAAATTCCTACCAATAAATAGTCATGTACTGGCCACTCTAAATCCAAAACTCGTGGGGTTGTTGACCCGTCCATACAAGAGCAATACACATATCACTGCTTGCTACTGTTTTGAATATTTATAGCAGTAAATCTGCATGCTGTGTTTTACACCCCACACAGATAGACAGCCACATGTGGCAACCTAATCAGAGCTTGGATTTAGCATAGATATTATGATTCAATTTGTTTTCATAAATTGGAACTTGCTTAATAATAACTACTGAAGTCCAAAGAACTATCTTAGGTAGGCCCAAGCTTAGGGTCAACCACAGATTTCAGAATCAAGATAAGGTTAGAAGGGAGTATTTCCTGGCTTAGCCTTCCTCAGCCTGGTACCCTTCAGATGTCTTGGACTTTGCTTCCCATAAGCCCCAGTCACTATGGTTAATGAACATGAATGCTGGGAATGGTAGTTCAAAACACTGGAGGGTTTATTTATTTATTTAAAGTTTTTATATGCCGTCCCCATTGCTATATAGCCTCGGGACGGCTCACAATAGCCTCGGGATGGCTCGGGTTCCAGGTTGGGGAAGTCTATCCTACCTTATGACTCTTGCCTTTAACCACTATCAGAAAAATCATTTGCCATTTCCCTAAACATTTGCTGTTAAACTCCTCTAATTTACAACAGATTTAGGGAAAGCTTAGTTTACTATTTCTTTAGATTTAGAGATTTTTCATCCGCATCTCTGAATAAAGAGAAACTGCTGTCTTTGGAACAGATTGATGCAAATCAGATAAAACCTTTATCTGTAATCTCCCTAAATATTAATATAGCACGACAGTTTCCTATATTTTAAAGAGAGCAACCTTTAGAACATAAGGGAAGCACAGAATATAAGTGCTCATTCCCTATTTGAGATTACTCCCATCTCTAGGGCTGTTCTCTGAACACACACTCCAACTTTTTAAAATTGTAAGTTAGCAGCCTTGTTTAAACAGACCCAATGGGGGGTGGTGTGGTGGTGGAGGGGACAGCTGCTAAATCCTAAGCAAATATGAAATGGGAAAGCATATGTTTGTTTGGGGTGGTGTGAATGTGTGTGTGGGACAAAAGATAGTAATGGCACAACCTAGCTGCTTCCAATAAGACCATGTAGAATTATTGAATGAGTAAAGCATAAACCCAGGTATAGGCAAACTACACAACATCACTTGAGTATGTCAAAAGAAAAACTCCCATTCGTAGTCAGCAGCAGATTTTCTTCACTGAGTGAAAAGACTTTGCTTCCTTGGGGCAGATCCGATGTGGTTCCTGTATGGATGTTCTATTGCACAACTATTTGATCTCCACCTCCCATTCAAACAATCATGGTGATAAAAGAGAAAGTAATTGGCCAGCATAGAATCTGAGCACAGGCTCAGGAACAAATCACTGGGCCAGTCACTAACTTTTCCACAGAGGATGTCCAGTTTCTTTGAACTATGCTTCTTGCATTTTAATTTAAATAATGTGAAGAAAGCATTAAATGTAATTAACTGGCCTATTAATAAGAACATGTCAGCTTAATTGGCCAAATTCCCTTGAGAGAAGATGTTTAATTGGAGGATTAATCCCAGCACATGATACTGTCAGTGATAAATCTAGGACTTTTAAATATTCTGTCAGTTGTACCTGGATGGGTTAGAGACAAATGTTACTTCATGCAGTTGATTTATAGTTAGATCTGTCCTCATTTTTCACTGTTGAATCTGCATTGTTCCTTGATGTTGAACCAAAGGTTTTTACTTAGAGACTCAACATTTAGAAAGTAAAGGATGTTGCTATTTAGGTATAGCTAAATGTTAAGGATGCGTAGCTGGACCAGCCAAAGTTCTACCTACTTCAGCACTCTGTTTCCCAACCAACCAAGCAGATTCCTTTCAAAAGGACATGGTGGCATCAGCCCTCTCAAAACATGTGTTTCCCAGCTGGTGGTATTCAGAGACAGACTGCCCATGAAGCTGAGATGCCAGGGTGATGTAGTCTTACAGTGTTTGGTTAGGACCTGGCAGATCCCAGCGCTGCTCCTCACTCAGCCATGCCTCTCACTGGTGGATGACTTTGGGCCAGTCACTAACACTTACCCCAACCTGCCTCACAGGGTTATTGTGAGAGTGAAATGGTAGAGGAGGAATACCATGTAAGCCACCTTGGGTTTTTGCAAAAGTAAGAAGGGTGGGATATAGATGTGATCATACTATAGCTACCATGACTAGAAGCTACTGAAAACTCTAGCCTCTTTGAATTTGTCCAGCCCCTCTGAAAGCCATCTAAGCCATCCAAATCGTGTAGCAGCAAATTCCAAATGTTAACTGGTCTACTGGGGAGATGTAGAGACGTGGAAATCTTCCACAGCTGTAACCAGACTATCATATGGGAGTGCTTTCTACAACTACAAAGCAACCAGTAGTAGAAGGAAATAATAAAGTAAGAAAATTAGCCATGTTTTGTATAGATTCGTCAAAATCGATGGGACGTTAGGCCTGGCTCACTTGCTTCATTGATTCCAATGGTGCTACTCTAAGTATGACTCAGTCTCTCTCACTATGTGGTGTTGGATGACTCATTGCAGGTATCAAATGAACACAAAATAACAGTAAAACCTACGAACAGGGACTCTTGTTCAATCCTTGGTAGGTACTTGCTATACACTGACATCAGGCACTTAACAGGACATTGCCCAGGAAAGATTACCAAATTTGGCTATTCAGAGAGAGAAGCAACTCTGGAAAATGGACTTTTTTTAAAAAAAGGGAAAATTGCAAACATATTTATGCACATTCAGTTGTGCAGAAACAAAAAAATGGCATGCCATTGACAGTCCCTCCAATATGTCATCTGGACACTTCTGTGGCTGTCCCTTTTGTGGCTTCCATTTTGGACAGTGCAAAAAACAATTCTCCCCTTCCAAACAAGAGCAAAATAAAAGGAGGTTATAATCAGAGGAGGGGAGGGGCTTCCGCCACTTAGGCCCCTGCAATGCCTTCTGGAGGACTGGAGAAGGAGGTGGGGACGACCACAGTGTTCTCTCCCAATCAGGAGCACACAGCCACTGCCGTGCAGCCTGCGTACAGCGACTGATCTGCAACTGCATTGATGGGTCTGCTGCTAAATCAATCCACGCATTACACCCATGCAGTGAAATCCACTTTAACAGCTCTGACAGTTTCTCCTTCTAACTCTTTCACAGCTTAATGAACCATGAAGCTTTTGGGGGTACTGCTACTCTAACAGAAGCAGAGTGGACCTTTATACTTTAATCTACATGGGTTTTTTTAAGCTCAAGGAAGCACTGAAGAATTGAGCTATAATTTACTCTGCATGTATTTTGAAATGTGCTTTGGAGGTTAAAAGATTTGATGTTACAACTTTGGTTCAAATGTGAGGTTAATATCCTATGCACATCTATTTTGAAAAAAGCCTTCACTGAACACAGTGGGGCTTAATTCTGAGCACAGGGCTGTGTTATATCAGGAATGGGCAGAACACAGATCTCCAAATCTTTGGACTTCAACCCTCAGAAATCTCTGCCAGCATGATCAATGATCAAGAATACCAGAAAGTGAAGTCCTAGAGATCTGGAGTTTGCCCACTCTTGATGTAAGTCACTCCACACTTGATCTTACTTCAAGTGAAGCAATGCTCTTGTAGCCAGGTATAAAAGAGATCAAGATGAGAAGCCGTCCCATGTGGGATTCATTACAAATGTCAGCATATGTGCAAGAAGCCAAAGCAGGTTCTTACTGGAAAAGCTCCTGATCCGAGATCGTAGCTGTGTGTAGTAGGTTGTAGAGCCCAGCATGTGAAGAATCAGTCGAGCAATTCAGATCTCCATCCTTCCCTTGCTTGGATGCACTTAGTCTGAAGAGGCTGGAGCAGCGCAAGGCCAGTTCCAGGGCATCCAACCAGCACCGGCCTGCAAAACCCAAACATGAGTCAAAGAGTGTAATGTAAAACCTTCTTTCGGCTACTTCCCGCTTCATGTATCCAGGCATTTAATTCATTTTAAACGAAGGTGATAACAGATACACTGGAGCAAGGATTCTGAATGCTCTGAAACAAATAAGATATGATGGATGCAGAACATTTGATATTCAACCCCTCAGTTCAAAATGCTTCATACCAATAAGCTCTCTGAGTCCTTCAGGTGATAGTCTAAGCATGAAATACCAGATCCTGTCATCCAGCTCTGAAAGTTAACTTGTCCCAAACGAGCACAAGCAACTTGTTATTGTACCCAGGCAATTTCAAATCCACATTTCCCTGTTGGCATATTTGCTTGAATGATTAAGGTTCTCTCTCTTGGCTTGCCTTCTAAGACAAAGCAATATCTGAGCAGCAGAGCAGCCATTCTTCCCAGATGCCTCAACTCTCATCACTGCAAGCAAATATGGCCAGGAATGCTAGGTGTTGTAGCTGAAAACATCTGAAGGCCGCCACGGTGGAGAATATTGAAGTACAACAATGACTTTAAATAAATTTTCTAATCTAAATATAAGGAGTGGGAGAGAAAGAGCAAAGCTAAGGGCTAGGAAGGAAGGAAGAGAAAGAAGGCTAGGACTGGGGAGGGAGAGAGTAAGGAAAAGGTGTGCTGAGAGAGAAAGGGGAGATTAAGAGAGTGCACAAAGGGGAAAGGTGCGGACGCACTGAAGTTGTACATTTTTCTTGTTCTTTAGGCTAAAACAGACATCACTTTAAAGCCGCATTTAGCAGTTACAACTTCCTCTCTCATTGTTTCTCTAGCATAGGTGAAACAGCCCCCATCTAGAGCTTAGTGTAAGAGATAGGAAGGCTTTTAAGATCTGGAATAGGGGCCTTCTGTGTACTCTAGGAGTATGAAATGAAAAATGATATCACTGCTTAGATGCAGATTTAAAGTTCAGCACTGTCACATACAATCATGCTTGGAAAAAGTGCAGCCTTGTGAGAAAAATGGACTTCAGTAGTACTACACCTTGAAATCTCACACCTGCGTGGACATGACTCATCAGTGTATCAGCACTGATAACCCCATACAAAAATGGAAGGCACTTGTTCCTTGCTTTCTGAGCCATGTAGCAGTTCTACTAAAATTCAAAGGTCAGGCACTGGGGGATTTACACTCCAAACACTAAGATGATAACACAGAGATGAATTATGTTCCTTACTATGCATTCTATAACCAAATTCACCTGAGAGGAAGGAAATGAAATTAGAAGTTAATGTAGCATCAGCAAGATATACACTAAAGGTTGAGCTCCCAGTTTTAGTCCCTTGGCTCACAAACACATTTATTTAGAAATGTAAATAAAGTCAGACTTTTGTTTTGTTTTTTAATATCTTTTGGTATGAGCTGATATAGTGATTCAGGCACTCATGAAAAGAATATATCTGGGATATGTGACTAAGTAAATTAAATCTCAGCAAAAGATTAAGAAGAATGTTGGGAAACAGAAAAATTATAGTCTATCGCTGATCCTCATAACCCTTGGGTAACATAATCCTGTGTATTCCTTCAGAATCTAGATGAACAAAGCTTAAAGCTCACGGTAAATGACGACGCAACGCAGCTCTAATTGATTACGCACTAGCTTCTGTCTGCAAGCTTTATGAACTAAAGGGGCTTCTCATAGAAAGGCTCTCCCAGCTATGGCACTGGCTGTTTTTACACATGGATAATAGGAATTCCAAAATAGCCACTGCAGCCTCCATTCATCAGACTGTTCTGTGATTACGGCTGCTCCCATTACCCTCAGTTAGACTGAGGGAAAATGGGCTTTTAAATCATCTCACATAAATATTCCCGAGATAGGAAACAAATGATTTCTATATTTGAGCACAGGAAGACATGGTCCGAGTTTACTTTACTTAACATGCATATGTAAAGCATGTATGTATTGCCATTCAACTTTAGATAAATGATGAAGCAATTGTGATAGTAAATCCAATAGCACTGATGGCTGGGATTCTTCCTTTTTTGCTCCTACAAATCGTAGAGGACTAGGGAAACGACAGCTGGATAAATGCCAGCTTGCACCACTACAGACACAGCGGATGCCTTGCAGAAGGGGCAGAGTCCCTACCAGAAGAAAACCCGGGGAAGGAGGAGGAAAACCTTTGGATAGGCACATGAGAGTCACTCCCAGCCTGTTCCCTGTCTGCGCACTGGAGTGCCACTCCAGGGCACCGTGCTGCACTAAGCCCAGTGCTGGACAAGGGGCATCCGTGGCCACCGGTGCACCAAGGGCCGTCTCCTGCCAGTTGCTCTATTGGCAGAGGAGGATTTCGTGTTTCTTCCCTGGCACAAGCGGGGCACAGGTTCAGGGCAGTGGCAGAAAATTAATTTCTGATGCTGCCAGTGACCAGATGCTGTTCTTTCTGGAACGCCTCTGAATGCTGGTGGTATTTCATTAGATGCAGGAGTGCTTTCATTGTAGAAACAGTCTCTCAGGCAGTCTCTCAGTTATGTTAAATGTTCGAAAGCTGCTGTGTGCTCAGCCATACAGACATGATGCTTAAAAAGCTCCAGTCAATAAGCAAACCGAACACAGAAGGGTGTCATTATTGGGAAATAAATGGCTCTGCATATAGAAACACCAATGGCTAAAATAGCTGATGACAAACTGTCATGAAATGCCGGCGTTCATCCTGCAGTGCAAACTCCGTGATCCCCCCCCCACCTCCTGCAAACAACATTCTTTCTCATCAATAGTAAACCTTATTACTCTCCCAGAAAGTAGCATTCCCAGACTTGTAGCAACCAATTTCTGCACACAAAAAGCTATATTTGGAGGGTAACATCTGGGATACCTGCCAGCAAAGGCAACTGGGCAGCCTAAGACTTTCTGGTTTCAAACCAGACAGTACACGCACTCGGGGAGGGAGGGAACTTCCCTAATGACATGGCTGCTAGTCAACTGTGTAGGAGCTGGCTGCTATCAAAGCAACTGGAACAGGGTGAGCTGAAAAGAACGGATGCCTTTGGGGGAAAGCAGTGGTCAAGCAGCAGATATTTCTGAAAATCTGTAGCTTTCAGAAGCTGTTGCCCATGAAATTAAATGGACAGCAGATTCTTCAGGCTGAAGCTTTGGGGCCTTCCCACTTCCCAGGCCGAGAAAGGGAGGATGAGTCTGAGGTCCTCAGCTAAAGGATCTGACTACATCCCTTATCCATTATTGGAAGTACCTTGGGTGTAATTTCTACTTTCATGTCTGAGACACTGCTGCTTCAATATTAGTTTCATACGCAACTGCTGCTTGGTGGGCACATCTCAGAGACCATCACAGAGTGTATGCCTTGCAGACAAGTGCCACATAAGAACAGAAAATGGTGCAATTATGGGAGAAGGAGAGGGAATCTGAAAGGTCACATATAGGTTACCACTGGCATATGTAATGCAGTGCTGTGCCACATCAGTCCTTCAGGTGTGGGATAAAGGGAAGTGGCACGTATTCTTTTAAAAAATGTAATGAAATCTGTGTGGAGCTGTGCAGGACTTCTTATGTCATAAAGAACCATGTGTCCAACATGATGACCATCCTAATATGAAATATAATCTCCTGTCCTTAGAAAAATCTCTCCCACCTCCTGAGAGCTGTTGGCTGACAAAAATGCTAACCTATCTTTGGAATCCCTTTCCATCCATCTTATTTCTAATACTGCTTAGGTAAGCCATGGCAGGTACTTAGTGGGAATTTTTAAAGTAGAGGGAGATGTATCCAATGGTCACATGTACAGTTTGTTCAATCAATTCTTACTGTTTTTGCTTTGGGCGATGTGATCTGCTTTTTTTTGTTTGTTTCATTAAAGTTGTACAAGCAAGTGTGGGTTCCCCCCATTCCAAGTATTCACATCTGTCAGGTACACGGAAATGTAGCCTATGAAATGAGAATGTGTGGCCAGCTATCTCATTAACAAAGGGTTGAAAATGGAGAATAACCATGAATTTCTTGAATGCAAAGCTCAAGAAATACAGAGGGCAGAATGGAGTACCTAAAGCCCAGCACCTTAAGACAAGAGAAAGGTAATATATCTTGCCCAGCTTCTATTTGCCCAGTCCTGCCAGCTTGTCAGGTAGTTAGTCCACTTGAAGTCTTCCTAGATCTCTCAGGTGCTTCTGGAGAAGACTGGCAACTCAATACAGGAGGAGGGGTACTTTGCCTCTCTGATGGTAAGTGTTCCTTTAGCCATCACTGTATTGTAATGTGCCATCTTTAAAAACTGAGTTTGGCGGATGAAAAGTCATCAATATAGGACAGTATTTGTGTGTGCCTACAGGTGGTGCTGTACCTCTAGAATCCAGTACTGATGAAGGGTAGGATACAGGCCAACAGCAGCAGCAACTTCTGCTGAGCCACACTGAACCATACACTTACGATCTTGCAAGCAAAAGGAACTAATCAGGGCCGGTTTGGAGGCCGCTAAGAACACTTATGCAGATTGCTTGCCATGCTGCACTGTATTCATCACTGGTCTACTACTTGCTTTACTTCTCATTGCAACACCACACAGAGTCTTGCAGCAGGTTTAAAAAAGCCATTTTATTTTGGCAAAAGCTTTGATTGACTGGAAAATGTAGGCCAGAATAAAATGTGTTCATCTTTAAGGTGCTGCTTGATTCTTTGACAAAGTTTGCCCCAAATTCTGGAAAGGTTTCAGGGCCAGATGCCCCAAGTAGGCCCAGCTCCCTGCTACTCCCTGCTCCTGCAGTCCGTCCACTGCTTTACTCTTTGCCCAATCTATGCAATGGCCTACAACAAAAACGCAAGGTAAGTAGAGGCAATGGCTGCACCGCTGCTGTTCCTTTTGCCGCTGCTGATACATGTGGAGAGGATGAGTGACCAGGCGGCAGCAACAAGCAGTGGGAGGAGGAACACAGCCAGTGGCTTTGGGGCACAAGCAATGGGTCTATAATGCCCTATGATATCAACCCCACAT